AACAATTGGCTGAATATTAACTGTAAAATGCAGCTGAAAATATGTCAAACATAACTAACACTGCTCGTAGCAATATACAATATTATATATATATATATGTGTGTGTATGTATGTACACACATACGTTCGTCGATGAAAGGAGTAGAGAGAGGGGAACATTTACATTAATTGCATTCGCCGCAGGTTGTTATGGGCCCTCCTATCCCCTCCACGCGCATTCCCTAAAGTGGTTTAAAGACTTAAATGCAATTAGAGTAATTAGCCCTCTTCGATGTTAATTAAATTTCCTTTTTATATAATTTTATTGAGTGGAAAATTATTATCGAATTGGGACAGACGAGTGCACCCAATCGTTCCAGGCCGTTTATACGGCCTGCGTTTTGCTGACTTCTTCGGGATTGCATTTTCTACACATTTCTTCTCTATTACCTTTTTTTAGTGGAAAAGAGACGTGAAGATTGCATCAGAAACTACTCACTTTTGTTGAGCCTCTCTTATCCCAGGATCTCTTTACTATGTCACTTGTTTCTCCATTAAAAAAGTGAAATATGCTGAGCTCCTTTTTATATACTCGTGCATTACATTTTTACATTCTTTATAATATTTTAGGACACAACTTTCTGCAGCTTGCCGTTGTGCCTGGGGAGAGAGAGTTAGAGGAGGCAAGTTGAGTTGGCATTGCCAATCCAATGCCATTGGTACAAGAGCGAGACGCACTTACGTTCATAAATGTAATGCAATTTCGAGTAGAACTTTATTTAATTGAGTATTTCGGTGCTAAGGTTGTCCTCGGCACACACACACATACAGTTGAACATATACACTTCAGAGAGATGTCAGGTTTATGGAAATAGTTAGATGAGGCTTTCGTGGCTTTATGGAAATTTCTCTTTAATTTTCAGCAGTGGCGGCACCACAAAGCCACTCACACTTTTGGTTAGAGTTGAAAACTCTTGAAACTATTTTTTGTATTCTGTACTCTATTCTATATTAATCTTTGCGAGTATGTGTACGATATAGCAGCCATTCTTTAGGATTGCATTTTCTCATACGAAACAGAAACCTAAACATTTTTCTATGATTATTTCAATTGGTATTCCGATGCAATAGAATGCAATGGTAGTGGAGTGGGTGTGTGTATGCGGGAGTGTAATGCAGGCCATAAAATAGCTGGAAGGACGAAAAGAGAAGGAGAGAAGCTTGTGGCAGGGCCATAAAAAATGCTCAACAATAAATAAGGAACAAAAAGCGTTGCACCCGTCGAGGCGCACTCTGGCTTACATGAGTTTATTATGCTGTACAAGGCATTATCCTCACATGTGGGTCTTATGTCCTGTGTGTCCTGCGTGTGTGTGTGTGTGTGTGTGCGCAGTGAAGCATCATTTTATTTATGCTCATAATGCTGCGCAATGAATAATTATGCAAATGGGCTGGATTATGGTCAAGCCGCCTTGGTACGCCTTAGTCGTTTCCTTAGCTTCCGCAGCAACAAATTGCAAGATTCTGCACTATTTACCAGACATTCAAAGGGCAATACACACACACCCACACACATACACAAAAGTGCAGAAAATATTGCCCTTTTCCAGGAGAACAACTTTAAACGTCACTGACAAAACAAAATAATTATCAGCAGCAAAGAAAATGCAAAACGCAAACAAAAACTTTTTACTTTTTCGCGCCTTTCCAACTTTTCTTGCGGGCGTCTTTTGGGATGGAAAGTTTCACTGCACCCCAGGCAGAGTCGGATCCGACTCCGAATCGGTCCCCCCCTCACAGCCTTTGACCATTTCCCCACCAACTTTAAGGCAATGAAACTTGGGTAAAAGTCTGGGAGGATCAAGGCTTAATCGCCCGCCGCTTTATAAATCAAATCTTGAAATCAAAACAAAAAGTTTTGCGTTGGACAAGTCGGGGAGATTTCGAATATGTATTTGGGTGCATAATATTTATTATCTCCCAGCTGTTGACTGGCAAATAAATCAATATCGTATTAACTGCTTAGGCGAGCCACAAAACTTTTGCCTAAATACTGCCCCCCAAAGCACATAAATAACGAAAATGTCAAAAACTTTTGGTCTCTCTGCTGGCCCAGCTGGAGGAGTCCGCGGCGTCTGCTTGAGCAACAACTGAACTGGACAAGAAGCCAAATGCTCTGGCATAGGGGCAGTGCCTGTCTCTGACACTTCCCGAGCATGTCCATATACTCTTGCAAAGGGTTTTCTGATTTTCCGCACCTAATTGAGTGCTGATCATCAGCAACATCCGCGTCCATATAGTTCATTCAACGAGTAAGCAAACAAGTTTCTTACTTTTAAAGTTGCCCTACTACTTATAGGTAGAGAAAACTAAACACTTTGCAGTACGAGCAGCTAAAAATTCAATTACTTATCCTAAGCAATAATTGCTACAGGAACAATGCATTTTAAAAGGTATACAACTCTTCGGCTCCCCAGTCTTTCGTTATTTTTTCAATTACTCTCGATTAACTTGAGACGTTTGAGACTCGACCTGAGTGGAAATAACGCTTGATGTGAGGAAAGAAATTAATTGAATAAATCCGCGACAGAACCTGCCATCCCATGGACTGCCCTGCTCAGTTGATTAATGGAAAACTGTTTGAGCTGCATACAAGTTTTAATGAAAAACGGCTGTCGATTAATTAGCTACAATGCAATCGATGGGGTGCACCTATCACTTTCGCGACTCGAATTTCAGCCAGAAGCCATCCTTGGGCTGAAGGGTGTGGCCAATGATGCTATCGAGCATATTGGTCGATGTTTTTTGGGCAGGCAGCAGCCTGAAGCTCAGAATCAATTGGTAGACGATGGATTTGAGCTCCATGAGGGCCAGTCGGTTGCCAATGCAGTTCCGCGGACCCACTCCGAATGGCAGGAAGGTGCCGGGCTTAATCTCGTCCCTGCGTTCATCTGAAAAGCGCTGGGGATCGAACCATTCCGGCTCTGCAAAGTTCTCGGGATCGTGGTGCAAAGGAAAGATGGGTATCTGCAGGACATCGCCCTTCTTGGCGGAGAGCAACGTCTTTCCGCTATCGTCACACAAGTCGATGTCCTTGCTGCACTCGCGATCTGTGGATATGGCTGGGGGCCACTTCCGAAGCCCCTCTTGGACAACCATGTCCAGGTACTTCATTCGCGTCAGTCTGTCGTAGGTGAGAGGCTTGCCATTCAGCTCCTTGTCCACCGACAGTATCTCCTCGTACAGCTCAGACTGCTCTTCGGGGTTCATGCAGAGCTCGTAGGTGAGGAAGCAGAGGGCCGAGGAGATGATTTGGAAGCCCGCGAAGAAGAAAAGCAAACACTGGGCCAGCAGATCCTCATCGGTGAACTCTGCGTACTGGCTGGCGTCCTTTGATTGGTTCACCAGCTCTGCATGCCTCAGCTGCTTGGCCTCCATCAGCAGATGAATCATGTCGGGACGTACCACATTGTGCTCCTTGCGATACCTCATGGCCACCGTCACTAGACTTGTGAAGTAATTAATATTCTCGGAGTCCAGGACCCGTATGCGGAGCAGCTATGGGACCGCAAGAGACAATTTAATGGCACATTACGAATCGCAGACTCACCTTCATTAGCCGCGGCACCAGGGCATAAAGAACAGCCTTAACAATTGACCAGGCGCTAATCTTTGACAGCGACTGTCCGATTCGATAGAATTCGTTGTCTTTCCGCCTGAATGAGTTCACGCTGAGGCCAAAGGCGACGGTGGCAATCACATCGTTGGCGAAACGCGTAAAGTAATCCTTCATTTCCAGCTCAATGGCCCCGGCATTCGATTGTTCCAGCTGCTCGCCAATATGCCGCACTGCCTCCTCGCTGCACGAATGGATCAGCTGGTACATGACCCTCATTTTGCTCCCAGTGAAGGCGGGTGTCAGAATGTAGCGCATCTCCCGCCACGGGCCATCCTTCAGCGAGATGAGGCTCTTCGACAGAATCGACTCCTGCGCATTGTTGTGCATGCTGTGGTGGTTGACGAAATGGTCGAACTCCTTAATGCCCACCAGCTTGATCAGCTCCGGATCGCGCAGGAAGATGAGGGGATCTCTCAGGGCGTACATGCCGTAGACCCTACTCCCCCGGTACTGCATATGCTGCTCGATCATATACTTCAGCACGGGCAGGCCACCGAGCATAGCTCTGATGGGTATGTTGCCCAGCAGGGGCTTGGGCTTGGCATGCGGCACGCCCCTTTCGGTGAGTACATCGTATTTGGCCACGGACCACTTGTAGAGCAGAACGAGCAGCACGACGAGCAGCGAGAGCAAAACGATCCATTGTTCCATGATGTCAGAGAGAGTGTCTTAATTAAACCGCACAAGTGTAACGCTGGAAATGAACTGACTGACACACGATTAGAATGATGATACGATGTTCAGTGAGAGGAAGCTCTCTCCGGAAAGCTCTCAAACAAAAGCTCCACACACTGCAGGCCCTCTTCGTTTCGTTATCAAGCGATCCACCATAAGGTGGTTGTCAGTCATTATCCATATCGAAATTGGATAAGTTTTATCTGCACTTAGGTATGTATAGAGATAGAGACAGGCATATTAAATATTATTGACTTTGTTTTATTTTTTGGTGCAGTCAAATCAAGCAAAAAATTCCATTAAACAAATTGCCTTTCGAATGGAATTGAAATGTGATTCCATGTTGCATTCCTAATTTGTCTAATGAAAAATGAATTGAAATACCACATGTTCGGACAACGTTCATCCTGGCCACCGCTCGCCCCTGCCCGTCATTGATTCGAATAAATGCCAAAAGGAATCAATAGGCAGCCAATTAAATGCCATAAATACAACAAAAAATCAAGGCAAAAATATTGCAACATCATCAGCAATTTAGGCAGAAAAAATGCATTCAGCTGGGAGTCGATGCAAGACGTGTATGCCCCCTGCAAAAATCAAATAAAAAGATATGGACTGTAGCCATTGCGAATGTATCATACCTCGTACTCTCTTTCATACATATCTTTATACATATGGAAAGGTATTTAGAACTTACATATTTAGCAAAGAGTAGTGATATCACCTATCAGGGATATCAAGGATTTCAAACAATCCACAGGCTCGACTCGTTTGTTACACACGTCACATATGTATGCTGGAAAATGAATACATCCTTCGCGACTCCGAATACCGTGTATAAAAGGCAATCATAAAAGCCCTTTAGTGAAGTCTATAAAAGGTCCTAGTTGGGCGAATCAGCAAGGCATTTCCCTAAAGTAGACAGACACCCAAGCTGGAGGCAATGTTTGAAGACATCCAATTGATCTGCATGAGCGTCAGGATATTGCGATTCTGGGCGCTGCTCTACGACCAAAATGTGAAGCGGTACGTCTGCCTCGGTCTGGCGTCTTTCCACATCTTCACGCAGGTGGTGTATATGCTGACCACCGACGAGGGAATCACTGGCATCATACGCAACGGCTACATGTTGGTCCTGTGGATAAATACGGTGCTAAGGGCCTACCTACTGATGCAGGATCAGGCTGGCTATGTGGAATTGATCCAGAGCCTGACAAGTGCCTACTATGATCTGGCGAGTGACAACGACTCGTACATATGCGGTTTACTGGATGATTTGAATCGACAGGGTATGTTTATGGCCAGGGGAAATCTGTTCTTTGGCCTGCTCACCTGCATGGGCTTCGGCCTCTACCCCCTAAGCTCCAGCGAAAGAGGTAAGACAATTAACTGTCAAACATCCAATTGCCAGCAAGGCCATGGCTCCTCTTCCTATCCATCCGCAGTGCTCCCTTTTGGCAGTCGGATCCCTGGTCTCGATGAGTATGCGACCCCCTACTACCAGCTGTGGTATGTCTTTCAGATGCTCATCACACCCATGGGCTGTTGCATGTATATTCCCTACACGAGCCTGATTGTGGCCTTCATCATGTTCGGCATTGTCCGGTGCAAGGCTCTGCAGCACCGCCTGCGCCTCCTGGCCGTCCGTCATCCGGCAGGGCATCGCAATTCAAGGTGCCTATCTGCCGAGATAGCCGATTGCATTCGCAGTCAGCAGAGCATTATTGAGTATGTGGACAAAATCAATCTCCTGACCACCATGATTTTCCTCTTTGAGCTGCTGGCATTTTCCGCTTTACTTTGTGCGCTTCTCTTCATGCTAATCATTGTAAGCTCGCAGCACGCTAGATTCCCACGATGCACTTCATGGTAGTTTTGTACTCTGACAGGTCGACTCCAGCAGCCAATTGATTATTGTCTGTCTCTACATCAACATGATACTGGCCCAAATCCTGGCTCTGTACTGGTACGCAAACGAGTTGAGGGAACAGAATCTGGCCGTGGCCGAGGCCGCTTACGAAACCGAGTGGTTCACCTTCGACATTCCCCTGCAGAAGAATATTCTGTTCATGATGATGAGGGCACAGCGTCCGGCTTCTGTGAGAGACCAAACATATACGATTCTAATATTATTTCGACTCTTTTTAACTCTTTCGATTTACAGATAATGTTGGGAAACGTTCGTCCCATTACCTTGGAACTGTTCCAGAATCTACTCAATACAACTTACACATTTTTTACGGTCCTTAAACGGGTCTATGGTTAAACTATAGCATATAGTTCACAAATGGCACATATGGCACACATACACACATACATATGTGTATAGGATCTCACTTGAATGTTTAATTCCGTTCACAATTGAGCACCAAATTTCACAACTGAATGAATCAAGTTAACAACAAATAAATGGTTTTTTATATACATATGTGCATATGTATATATTAGTGTTCACACTGCATTCAATTGTCACACCCCGCTATCCGAAGAGTGCAAGGGCATATAAGGGTAAATGTACTCAGTGTGTACAACTAGAAGTTTTTTTGATATCAGCAGAAATATTTCAATTCCTCCACATCGGTCAATTATTTAAGCCCGCTGAAGAACTACTCTTGGTCATCAGTAATCTGGAATGGGTATCATATAGTCGTTATAACGACCCTGCAATACATTTTTGCTGATTTTGTTCTCTTTCATTTGATGTTAAAAAATGAAATGATGTCTTGCAGTTAAAAAATACATAGGTATGTACATATATGTAGTGTGTATATAATGGAGCATGAATCAAATAGGAATGAGGAAGAAGGAATGGAAAATGTGCGATAAAAAATTTGTTTGCTAAAGTTGTCAACGAACTTTTTTGCTGGCTGACAGGTCGCCGAAGTGCGAAAACTGTCAAGCCGCATGCAGCAAAATGCAGCCAGCCACTGTCAACCGGAGGCCAGGAGCAGGAGCGCCAAAGGAGCCGAAGGCAAAACACAATTCAATTTGCTTCACACTGTGTGCTGGTGAAATTCCCCAAAAGGAGAATTAAGTTCATTATAATAATGATAATGGCAAGGAGACTTTAACTTTGATTCGCTGCCGTACAACAGATAGGCAACAGCACAGAACTATTTAATGATATGCGAATCGAAATTGGCTAAATTATAAGGGGATCCTTTAAGTGGACTTTCCATTAGAAATCTTGGTACTGCAGAGTATACCCTATTTTTGGCACGACTGGCACGAGACCCTTCAAATAGTGGCTGACAGTTTGTGTTTTCGCTTTTCCTTATTTATAGGAACCCTCCTTCGGTTTCTCCCTACACATATTAACTTGGATAATGGCTTGTAAGTATTGTAATTGATAACTTAATAGAGACCAAGGCCCTGCATGATCGAAGAGGTGTCGTAGATTTCATTGACGGAGCACAGATTGATGAAGATCGGATTGCGTCCGCTGCGGCATTCGGTGGCCGACCTATCGCCGCTCTGGTAGACAGGGGCGTTCACATCGCTTGCCCGCACAAAGTTGCATGTCATGTACTGGTGGACACTGAGGAGCCACTGGCCCGCCTCGTTGCTGGTGTTGCGGGACTCCCGCAGTATGCCGCAGCCAACATGCGTGGTGCTGTCCCGGACGAGCTGTGTGAAGTAGGCAATGCACTTGCTGATGCGAAAGTGGAGAATTCTGTGAGAGTCAAGTGGGAGGAATAGTGGGAAGTCCAGCGAGTGTCCTACCTGCTGATGGGGGGACTGTAGGCGATGATATCGCGCATGGTGCACTCCTTGTACTCGGCAAACATCTGCTCCAGCGTCGCCTTGATCACCTCGTCCTCGGTGTGGTATTCGACTTTATGATCGGTGGCTGAGGCAGGATCTGGCCGTTCGGGTGCTCCCTGCCAGCCGCCCTCGGCCACCACCTGGGCCACGTTGCGGAACTGTTCGCTGTTGCGGCAATGATCGTTGACCAGGGCACAACGCTTCACATTCAGCTCGGCAAAGCTGGCCAGCTCCGGGTCCCACTGGAGCGTGGCCATGCGCGTGGCCGGACTGAAGCCCAGCAGATCGCCCCTGGCAATCCGATCGCGGTACTCGTTCAGCTCGTTAAGAATCATGTTGCGACGGGTGGGCGAGATGCGAACTACATGGGCATCCGGACTGCAACTGTCCGCCAATTCCTGCAACGATCAAGGCAACGTAAGCAATGGAAATCCACTGTGCCTGTGTACCCCCATGTACGCCCTTACGCCAAAATTGTTGCAGGCGATGTGCTTCTCCGGGCCGGGACAAAGGGCAGGATCGCAGTAGTCAAAGGCCAGTGCCACTGGAGCGCTAGTGCCCCAGAGGTGCCACAGCAACAGCAGCAGCCACTTTGTGTCCAACATGTCGATGAGGCAGCCAACTTAGCCAGCTCTGACCTCGCGGGCGGTCTCTTATAGAGTTCGCCCCTCAAATCGATTACTGGTCAAGCGGATCTATCAGTTAACAAAATTCGACACCCCACCAGCCGCGATTGGATACACAGCATGTTCTGGAAGCAATACCCTATGCAGCGCCACCATGCTACCACCTTTATTCACTCATTCAGTTTACTTACAAAACAGTTAAAAATGTGCGCCAGTCATTTCCTCCTCTCCGATGTTATTGGCGTTGACCTCTTCGATACGATCGCATAGGAATCTATAGAGTTTGCTCTTGCCGGCGCTGCACAATTCTCCGGGAATGGTAGCCACCTCGTAGTGCTGATTATTGTTCACATTGGCCCGCGAGAAGTGACAGAGCAGGTTCAGGAAAATGGTCGCATTGCCAGACTCATCAGCCTTCACACGAATGGCGCAGCCCATGCGACTCCCATGGTCCTGGATCAGGGGTACATAGTGGCCCACACAGGTTCTGGTGTGTGTGTGTGTGTGTGTGAGCATGAGATGGTTGAAAGATAAAGGGGACCTTCCATTCGCTCACCCTTCGGACAGGGGCTGCAGCCTATGGCTTTCGTCCATGCGGCAGCCTAGAAGATCCAGGAATAGCGTGGGCAGAAGCTTGTTTATCACCAGGCGGGCGATATTGCCGCTCTGCGCCATCGTGCCGCCTAGCTGGGTGGTGGCCACATAGTGATACTTCTCCGTATTGGAGCAGTACTTGCCCTCTTCATCGCACTGACGCACCAGCAGGCTGGCCAATAGCTCCAGATTGCGGTCCCAGCTTATGGTGGGCATGCGGCCAGCGACCGAGAAGTTGCCTGCCCCACTGGCCACGTAGTTGCGCAGGATATTGATGCTCTGCAGAATGCGCTGCCGCAGCCCGCCGTTCACAAAGATGATTTGATTGCCCTTGCCACAGGCCGGGGCAAATTGCTGCGAATGAGTTGAGTGTCGATCGTTCAACCACCTGCCGTGTGCACTGTACATACCTTGGCCGTAATGCAGCCCACATGGGGATGCTCGGATGAGCAGAGATCGGGCCGGCAGAGGTCCGTCTTCTTTACAGTGGGCTTCGCCTCTCCGAAACCCTCCGCTGCGAGGGGCAGGAGGGAGAGCAGAGCGAGCAGCAGTATCGGGCAAATCATTCGGAAGCACCTTCTGTATATCATCGCCAGCGTGGCACGAATAACTCAGATCTTGGATCAAGCTAATTTATTTTCTTTATTCAGCAGCTGTGACCGATTCAATTGAGGGTGTCCAATTGCAGATCATTCGCATTGACATGCTCCTCGGGCGAGCAGAGTCCCTGGTAGTTGGCATGTGTCCCAGAAGTGCACCATTCGCCCGGATGCATGTTATCTACGTACACTCGCTGGTGGGCGATCTTCCCGCGCGAGAATTGGCAGAGTAGTGCGTAAAAGTACTGACTGCCTCTGCCGCTGCCACTGCCGGTACGACGCTCAATCAACGCACAGCCGATGTGATCGGCCCGGTCTTGGACCAGCTGAGTGAAGTATCCGCGGCATTTACTGAAATTGAAGCTCGTGTAGGAACATTGAGTCCATGCCATCCCATCCGGCTTACCCATCTTTCGGCGGCCTCCTGGAATTGATGTGATCCATCGTACAGCTCTTGTGGTCGTCCATCCAGAACTGCAGCACATACAGCACAACCGACCGAGCTGTCTTCGCATTGTGCAGCCATCGAGTGCTCCCATAGATGTAGGATACATATTTGAACGCGTTCGTATTGCTGCAGTACTCCTGCAAATTATCGCAGCCTCGCAGGGCGAACTTGGCCAGCCCTGCCAGCTCCTTGCTCCATCGCAACGTGCTCATCCTGGCGGCTGGACGGAATGGCGGGTACCTCCCCAGAGCTATGGCATTGCGGAATGCGTTTAACCTAGACAGCAGCTGGGACTGCAGATTCATGGGAAACGGCATGATGGCCGCTCCAGTTCCGCAGCTCTCGTCAAAGTCCTTGCAATAGAATAAGCTCCCACTGACCGTCATAATCAATCCATTCTCTGCACACTTACCCCATAATTCTCACAGGCAATATGCTTATTCTTGGGCGGGCAGAGATCCTCGCTGCAGTAATCGGTGGATGCCACCTCATCGCTGATCAGCAACAGACAGACAGCTAAGCTGAGAATGAACCACATTTCGAGGAAATAATCTGACTGAAATGAGGGGAATCGGGCCACGCCACCCAGACTGAAGCGGCAAATTACATGGAATTTATTTTAAGGCAGCGTGGTAATTGCTCTCCAGTTGAGCAAAGTGAAAACGTCTGGCTCTAGAAAAATCTCATGGTTCCATAAAACCGTATGCCATAATTTACTCTTGCCTATACAGGTTACCCTTTCATTTAAAAGTTCATGCGACGAAAGGCTTTCCAAATATGTAAATCGTTTACATCCTAATACTTAAAGCTACACAAATTTCTATTAAATAATTAGCCCTTGCACTTTAACTCTTTCATTCTGAAAAGACTGCAAGACCCATATATGATTACAAGCATATTCCTTTTAAAAAAAAACCTCTTAAACCTCAGCACTCGACTTAATTTAAAAGTAAGAAATGGCAAAATCATTTTCTAGTATCTGATAAACAAAATATTACATTTATATTGCAATTGGAATTTCAAAAATAGAAAACTTGTTTCCACTTTCTGGTTTCTTTCTGTTTTTATTTCATTTTTTTCACCCGATAGTGCACATCGGAATAAACAGAATTCGAGTGTATTTGATGTGCACTTCGTTGTTATTATGTTTTTATGTTTTGTTTTACATGAACACTTTACGTATTGTGTGTGTTTGGATTTGTGTAAGAGTTCCTTAATGTAGATATATAAATTAATGTTAAGCTTAGGCTGATGCTAAGGCTATATGTACAGATACATACATCACAAGGAATATATATAAATGGCTTGTTTTGCGGCCGCTTTTACTTTGGTCTTCTCATGGGAGTAGAGAAACGAATCGTTGACTAATGTGGAATTCATTTTGGATAATCAGTGTACATGCGATACATAAAGAGATGTATAAAGAGATACAGAACTAATGAAATCGACGTGTATAAAAGCGTATATCAACAAAGAAAAAATGCTCTCAAGAACGTGTCGCTATATCAGTTTCAACTGAAGTTCGGGTCCGTTCCCAACTGCATCGTTACTGCCCGAAGTTGGGATTGTAGGGCGACTGCTTCTCATAACCAGCGGGCATCACACTGGGACCGGGACTGGCAACGGCCATATCGTATGTCGGGGGATTCATATTGGCTGCACCCGCCCCAGGATACGGAGGATATGCTACGCCATGCGTTTGCATGCTGCAAAATGTGGAAACAAAATTTTAATATTTGCATTTCATTTGAACTTTACGGCGACTAGGACCCTAGCACCTACCCGGGCATTGGCATCGGCATTTGCTGATGTGCCTGCTGCTGTTGCATCGGCATGGGCATCTGAACAGTCACATTGCTGTAGAGGAAAGACATTGGATATGGAATATGAAATATGAAATTTTCATTTCGCACTTATTTGCACTTACCCAGTGGTCTGCGCCGGATACGGAGTGCCGTAGACGTTGCCGGCCGGGTAGCCGGGCGGGGGCAGCTGTGTAACGGGATATCCGCCAGGGGCTGTGTGGGTGGCGGATGTTACCACAACGGGAGCTGCAATGACAGAGATTAGAAATAGTAAATTATAAAACGAACTACTATGCGATAGCTGAAAACCAATTCTGTATGTGGATGCAATAAAAAAAATCTGAAATAGCTACGAAAGCAGTATATTCCCGATGATAAGCTACCCGATAAGCCACTGCGAACGCGCAGTGGTGACTCAGATATTCGAGCGCTGCCAAGTTGAGCGAATATGCAACATTTTTTGCATGTATTTACCACATTCACCGATTGAGTAGCCAACATTTCGGGCAGCTTTCTTCTGGCGTAGCATGCAAACCAAAGCCGTGGTAACGGTGAATATGGTAAAGCCGATAAATAGGCCTATCAATAAACCGTTCATTTCCGATTGCTGGACAGGACAAGAAGAAAACACAGACAAACGCCTTTCGATACCACACGAAACACTATGAAAAAGCTTTGCCATTTCTATACTTGGCCGAGGCCGATTATGGCCCAACCGATAAGCGAATCGCTTGACTACGATCTATCCACGACATGCGTACACACATATTTTCTTTTATTCGTATAAATAGTTATTTGGCAGAGAATTTGCTTAGGATCGTGGCATGGTGAAATTCATTAATCAAACGGGGAATCCCCATTTCGATTGTTACCGTCACTGATTGTGTATCCAACATTTCGGGCTGCCTTCTGCTTGCGTCGTATGCAAACCACAACCGAGGTAACGACGAATACAGTGCAAGCGATAGACAGGGCGATGAAAAAAGCCAACATTTCGGTACAGAGAACACAAAACACCTTCCCGTCAGGTCAGAAAACAAACTGAAAAGCTCTCGTATGACAGCCCTATTGTTCCCCACACCCAGACCGTGTCTAATCAATGGCCGATTATGGCCCACACGATAAGCGATTCCGTCTGGGGGGATGTGACATACACATGTTTACATGTCTTCTGTGTTCATTTCTTTATGATCAGCACTTGATATTCTAAACTATTAATTACTTACTCATTCTCCTGAACTTTTTGGCCAAGCAGAATAGTGTTAAAAACATACAAAAGGAGACTAATAAAAACACAGAAACCGATATAATGGGAATTATATAGAACTCCATTTTGAGTACAACAAACAAAGTAAAAAAGCACAATGCTTTCAGTTTGGGCACGCGAAACCTACTGATTTTTGTATGGCTATTAAACCTTATGGTTAAATTGACTGATATGAAAATCGGTTGCTTGATGTTATCAATCGTATTTTTGGAGGGAACTCCCCTGGAACCCACCTGCACACTTGGTTAGCTGCGCCCTTTGGTTGCGTCCGCGGGTGAGAAATGCGGCCACTGACGTCAGGAAGAAGACAGAGAATGTGAAGAAGAGTATCCAGTATAGGCCAGAGTCATCCATGATGTTAGGACTTTAAAGCGATATTCACGGCATCGACTGTGCACAAAGACTAAAACCGCAATGCAAAGCAAAAGCGGCTAAATTGGCAGTCGGAAAAGTGCCAGTAATGGCCAAAGAAAAGGGCAATCGCACTCATAAAGATAACCTATCTGAGCACACACACTCGCACTCACAGTATAACCAAATGACACGGAACTTACGGAGATCGTTGAGCGCCTGAATGCGACGTTGACGACGTCTCAAATACACTGCACTGACCAAAACACTGCTGCACACAGAGTAGAAGAGCAGCTTGATGAGAAATCGCATAACGTTGACGTACAGGTGGATGTGGTGGTAGGACTCTGCGGTCTGGTATTTGGCTTCCAGTGTTAAGTTGGTCATATTTCGTCTTAGATCACGTCTCTGGCCACGATCCAGGCATATACCACCACCAGAGCCACCAGAATTGACAGAGATCCAAGCTCGAATGCCAGGAACTTACAATTCAAATGCATTCGCTGCGATATTCTCTCGATTACATCGAATATGGTGGCGTTCATGCTGAGAGGGTTCGACTGAACTAAATGGGTCACCTAATAATTTGCTCGATGGCCCAGCCCTATGTTGATTAAGTGAGGCGCATAAAGGTTTTGTTTGCCAATTAGCAAATTGGTAATATCAACTAATGGATTCCAGCTGGCTAATAATACAACTGGAAGCAGTTGAAAGAGTACAGCAGTGTTATTTATCAATCACAGTTTGCTACCAGTGTCTGCAAATATAATAAAACCACAGCGTCATCGTCTACACTCCACTGGGCATTACAATTCCTTAATCTTTTAACGCATATTTATAGCGTAGGTCTTATAATATTTTATAGACTTCATGTCAGGATAGCCAGAAATATTCGTTAGTAGTCCATTTAAAGGATATTTATCAAGTTGGTTCAAAGGATGTCAAAAGGTCACTCAATGACCATTTTCATTGAAGTTCTGCTATTGAATGGCATAAATTACGCCACCGTGGTCGACAATACATATACATATATCAATTATCAGTTAATTTTCTTATCACTTAGCCACTTAGCCACAATTAAAGTTCATTAGAGCATTAATTAGATCAACTGTTAAAATAGCACTTGGGTTTAATATCTCATTCATAATCACTTTTTCCTGTGCCAAATATTATCTACGAAGCAATTCATACACATACACAAAAGTAACGGAGACAAGGCACATGAGAGAATAACAGACACAGGGATTAAGGGATTAAATAGTGAGGATAATCTCGCAATCAGTTCATACACAGTTCAAATGGCAGCTAAAAATGAGGATGCGTAAGTATGAATTTTCTGTTATTCTTCCCATAACATTTCTATGGGAATTTCTAAGCCATAAATTAAACTGGGCGTACAGTTCGCCGATAGCCAAGAATGTTTATGGTGGGGAAAATCCAAAATCTAGATGATTTTTTACATGGTCGAGTCGCTCAACTCGCAATACGATCGAAGACATGAAAAGCTAGCAAGAAAACGCTGAATGACGTCATTCAAAAGTTCTGCCATGACACTGCCAGATGCAATTCCGGTTATCTATCTGCCGCAGAGCTTTTTCCCATTTGCTGCTGGCTTTCATTTCGATAAGGGAATTACCAACGTTTCTTTGCTGCGAATCTTGTTTAGATAATCCAATCAAAACATTCTGACTAATACTCTGGAGCAAACAGAGTTTTTAGAATAAGTATTACTCACAAGAGAAAATATTGTGTAACATATAAAGGTTAAGAGATGTTTCAAACATTTTCCAATTTTTAAGAAAAATTCCTTATTTCTTTAAGTGCAATTTTTTGGTCAAACTTTATATAATATCTATTTTAGGTTGAATTACTCACGATCCGTTTTTTGACGTCTTTTCTTGTTGGCTTTAATACTGCAGTAGCAACTGGCACATATCAACAGCAATAAAAATAGCACGAAAGCACCAATGTAAATGAGATTAATAGCGAAAATATCATCATCCCAAGGCACGAATATGAAAAAGTTCATGGTAGAAAAACCGTTCCAATGCCACCGAATAACGAGATCAAACTGAGTGAAAGAAGCTCACTGAATGCTTAGATATATTGCTCAGATAACCAAGATCTTTTCCCAGCTTATAGATTAGATAAGAGGGGTTGGTTTTTAGGTGGCCCTATATGTACATGCTGGCTAATCCATGGGCATACCTTCCACCTGTCATCTGGAATAAACAATGTAACAAACCTAGCAGTCATACACTAGGGAAGCGATGATTAGGACACCAAAAAAAGAAAAGCAAAATACATATCGAATTCTGAATTGATAATTGTATCCTTAGTATTATATTCTATGGCATGTGTTATTCTGTAGAGCTCGCAGTTCGTTTGAATGCAAAGAACTGAAACTTTCGACTCATCAACTCTCCAGCGATTTGCTATGGTTAAGGCACTGTACATCTATTTACATGCTAGCTTATCCATTGACATACCTTCTTCCTCCTGTCTGGAACAACTTCTGCAACAAGCCCTGTAGCAACGGCAGCAACCGATGATTATGACTAAAAGTAGTACGCTGAATCTAGCGGCAACTCTGTAATCCGCATTAGTATATCTAAATTGACTTGAATCGTGTTCCATTTTATGTCTCTGTTTGTAGTGGGAGATCCTTGCCTGCTTGTCTCTTCCTTAAACCGTATTTACTTGCACTTTTCTTTGGAATTTTTTACACACAACACAGACCTCTACCCAATTTAATGAACTTTTGGAAGATTTCGTTACTTAGCTGGTTTTGGTTCTCAAGAGCTAGCTGGGGCGAGCGGATTGGGGGGAGGATTCTCCTTGATCTTCTTGAAGATCCACAAAAAGGATAGATCCGGCTCGAAGGACCAATATTTGTAGTGGGAGATCCTTGCCTGCTTGTCTCTTCCTTCAATTCCTTCAATAGATGAAAGAATTTTCGGAAAATAATGCGCTTGCGCGTCGTTCTTTATTCCAAGGTCTGATTTCAACTAAACTACACATGATTAAGCTTAGATCTAATGAGCAATGAAGAGGCCGCTCCAAAAGCTTTCATGCTTCGGGAGCATAAGCTTGAAGCCTATTGGCTGCATCGGTGCCTACTTTGCGGCTTAAACAGTCTCAATTCACTTAAATCATGGTCCATTGTCTGTGTGAATTGACTTAAATCATATTCCATAGAAGGTATCATTCTGAAGAACTCGCAACAAAACTCGCAAAACCAAAACACGTTTAAATGCAACGAACTGAAACTTTCGACTGATCAACTCTCTAGCGATTTGCTAGGGTTAGGACAACTATGCAGTATGCATAGGTATGTACAGTGATACGTCAGGTTATGCAAACGAAACGTCTCAAGAGAATTTACTGCAGTAGATCACATAGACCTTCGGCCTATTGGGAGTTACCATGTTCGGCTCTGTTCGTGTGTCTAGCCGGTCTAGCGCTTGCTCTTTACTGGGGAAACCCGAAATTACGAGCGCAAATCTACTGATTCATTTACTCACTGGCAAAGCTCAGAATCTGTTTGTAGATTTGCAGTGCAACGCAGCAACGTAGGCAAATGCAAGCTATCCAAATGGCTATGAAAAGCATCGCGACGGCCAACAGCAGGAGGAGGGCCGTCCAAGCCATTGAATATATCAATTGAAACTGTTTGCCACAAATGTAAATAAAATGGAGCTAGTCTTAGAGGCAGGTGCAAGTGCAACTACAACTGCAACTGCTGGCAGATTTATCGGGAAACAGAAACAGTTGCAGATTAAGTCCAGCTTTAACAACTGTGAGTGGCGGGCGTACTCACCCCCACCTGCGCAGCGCATTTTGTGCCACCAGTCCAGGAGCTTGAGGTAAGTCAGCAATATCCCCAGCAGACACAGCAGTATGATCAGGGGAGATAAGTCCATTGCCGATTACATCCAAGCCATCTGATTGTCCAAACGGAACTGAAATATGCTGCTGGCAATTGATTGTTGAAGAAGAACATCACCAACACTTACGAGAGTGTTAGCAAATCAACTAAACAAACAGTTGAACAACTGTTTTTTGTGCTGAATCTCTATAATTTTAGGTTCAATTAAAAAAAAAAAGCAAGTAAAAATTTTGCAGCCTGCTTTTGGGCCACGTTCGAAAATCACACAAAATACGAGCGAGAAGTAAAGTCACAAACACGAGAGCTGCCTTTTAGATCCCTACCCTTGGCTATTTTTAGCATGCTTAGGTCAAAATCGGTGACTAATCATTTATTTCACAACTTTTTGTCGATAGGGAAAAGTACTACCACTACTTATAGCCGCTGGCCACTATCCAGGCAATGACCACCACCAAAGCCACCAGAATAGATCTTAGCGTATCTTATAAAGAAGAAAAGTGGGGCTCGTTTTTACCTTGCTCCTGCTGTATGGAACAAACCCTGCAACAAGCCCTGCAGCAAAGCCGACAGCAACCGATGATTAGGACTAAAATTAGTACGGATAATCCACAGGGCATTTTTTAATTCTTATGAGTATGTCATTATGTACAATTTGCAGGTAGGTACATACAAACACACATACATATATGTACAATATATTTACAGTTATATTATTGAGTCATTCACTTAAATTTATTACTTATGTATTAATTGAAGAAAAAAGTGCATAAAGTAAGAACAAAGCAAATAAAGATTAAAGAACTTTCTATAAACTGAAATCAGTTTTCTTCAAGAGTTTGTTCACAATCATCATTTAGTTAAGTCCAAATTCAAGTCGAACGAAAGCACCGGCAATGTTAGATACTAACTTGCTTCAATGACACCCTTGTCTTCTGCTCTTTGCTTTCTCTTACGGATGGAAGAGCGTATTATGACCGTCAGTATTGCACAGAGAACCACCACGAATATCGAGCACAGGATAATTGTTGAGATCGTCAGATCCCTTTCACCCGGAACATGCGGCATATTTTCGGTGGGCTATTAATTTAGCAACTATATTCGATTCGAAGCTCTTTCAGTCTTTTTCCACAGAATGTCGAATATCTTAAGTGTTCCTCTTGTTCATTGCGCAGACGTTGGACAATGACTGCGCGACGAGTGTTGCCTCCTTATAGGTTTTTGTAAGAGTTACCAGACGGGCTGGACTCATTGTATCCCAACAGAGTGGGTTTCGGCATTGGAAGAGCAGATAAGATTAGGAGCCATCGCATTGGCTGTGACGCTTAGCGCGTAATGCGATTAAAGTCGCCGTATAGTCCTGATACCAAGCCAAACGTGTGCATAGAGCCATGGGGATCGTAAATACTGTCAAGTGGACAGCGTATTTACAGCTCAAAACCTACGTCAATTGTTTGAATCAATCAAAAGAGAACAGTTTTATTTCGAGCTCCAAAATTATAGCCGCAAAAATAGAAAATGTGTAGGTAGGCAAACGAGACACCACCTTAAATCAAGCCGAAACGATTATCACCATTTTGTGAGTAAAGTGTGCGCTCCACAAACAGAAGGACAGCACTGATACTCTATAAGCAATCGTGGAAATAATCCCAGATGGTATGAGTTCTTCGTTTAAAGTGCTAACACAACAAAAGCTCTGTTTACATCCTATTGCTAAGTATCTCGTTCTAGATTCGTAAGCCAATACTCTCATGAGCACAGACATCCTGCTCGTCGCAGAGAGCATTTTTCTTGGAATAACGACTGTTGTCTTTAGCAAAATAGTCATAAATAAGCTGAAAAATGGATGCGCAGTCAGCGCGATGTACCTCATCTGTGAGTCTTACGAACCCATCAGAAAAGTATGTATGTATTTTTCTGAAGCAACACCAACTAAGTGAGTGATCTATCAGTAGCAAAAAAAAGAAACGATTCTGTTTTTCCATACCAGACAATAATTTCATAGCAAGAATTCGAATGGAACTGTGGAACCTTACACTACATTTTCTTGAAGTGTTTAAACAAGTATCTAATCAAAACCAGTCTAAACGTTGGCGGCACTCTTGCTGCGACACTATACTACCTGTTACTCAGTTTTTATGTAAATATGGGCATTTCCATGAAAATACCCGAATCTCGGCTATCTTTATATTTTTCAACCTTTATTAACCCAATAAATATCCCTTGCAAAAGTGTATTACTTTCAATTAAAAATAAAAAACCTGTAACTTCAAAATTGTGGCGCTTGGGTGTTGGGAAAACCAAAAATTGATTCGGGGTGATATCTTAGGAGTTTGCTGGGGTTCCACAAAAATGTAATATACCCCTGTATTTTTTGAGTGCAGCTGGTATATAATCTAAAATCTATACTATAAATTTGTAGAAAAAGATATGTGTGTTATCGGATATCTCCGCAACGCGTCCACCAAATTTCATGCTGTTTTTTGTTTTTGAAATGATAGCCAGAGTAAGTGGCATTGTTTCTATACAAAAATTTTAAATTTTCTATAAATAGGTCTATCGAAAACTAAAAATTAATCAACAAAAAATCTCAAATTCGGTCTAAAAATGTGTGTTTGAACGCGTATTTCATTTCATTTGTCATTCTGAAGAACATAGCATTTTATGATAGATTTTGTTTTTATCACTTTTTGTTTAAAAAATGTTTTCTGAAAAAATTCCAATTCGTGTAGGTATATTTGTTGCTTTTGATTATCATTGTTTTATTTCGATGAATTCCTAAACATTAAATGCATGTAGTAAGCAGCGAAGCGCGCGGGTCTGCTAGTTTAGTATACATTTGCTATCTTTCATATATAATTTCCTCATTAATCAAGTAGATGCATAAATCTACTCTACTAGTACGCGTACTACTTTTGAGCACCGACCAAGTTGACGTCAAAGGTTTTTCAAGGCAGATTGTCGACCAATGTCGAACAGGACAAAACACACCTTAATCGAAATGTGAAACATGCTTAATTTGTACATAAATTATAACGATAATCTATATACAATTCAGTACGGCGCTCAATGCAAATGGCGACTTAAGTTTATGCCACTTGTGGTCACCATGATTAGATTTCGATGGCTCTTGTGTTTCAAGTTGTTCCCAGAACCGACCGATCCAATCATCTAATGATGACAATTTAATCACTTTTCTCTGCTCACCATTCGAGCCTACAGCACAGTTGGCCAGACGAATTTGACGGGCCCGACGGATGCGTATCAGGACTAGGATCAGCATCACTATGAAGAACACCATCAGAATGGGGAACCAGATATCGAAGTATATGTAAATCATTTCGAATGGTTTTTTTACGCGACGTGAGGGGTTTTAAAGTCCAGCAAGTACTGCAGGCAATTACTTTCGATGCCTGCCAGACATGTGCCATAGATATTAACCGAACCAATGTGGGTACATATGTACATACATGTGTATGTGGTTATCTATTAAATTAAAACGAAGTGATATCGAGGCAGTGCTACTGGGGCTGAGTCATGTGTAACTTGGAAATGACTCTGCGTCATTCTACATATAAAATCTGCAGGGTATTTAGAAGGGTTTCCTAATGACAGGGATCGGGACAGTTTCTAGCACAGATGGTTAGGGAACAAGATTTTTATAGTGAGGCAGCAGATGATCTAGTAGATAGATAGACTCGTAGGGGAACTCCCGGACAGCCTATGGCTACACTTCGATACGTAATCTATACAGTCGATAAGATATGAATATATAAAGTTAATTAGACAATTATTTATACATTGATAAAGCAAATTACCTATATACATAAACACACACACACACAAACATAAAGGTATCAGCCATAAAACATATTTGGTTTTGTTTACGAAGCAGCGAAGAAGAAAAAACTTGAGTAATAAACACAAACTAAATGCCAAAGAGACGCAATTAAAGTTTTTTGTAAAGCATTTCGATAATGCGCCTCTCTCTCTCTTTCTGGAAATCTCTTAGAAAAGGCACTTTTCCCATAAGCAAATTTTGACCTGGCAAATTTGTGTTCCCTCTAATATGGAGAACATCACATGTTTGCCGAATCCACTGAAGGAGCTATGAGTCATTGCCGCACGCCATGTGATTAAGAAATTTGATCTCTACTCACTGGATAGCACCGCGCCTTGGCGCCTGCTGGTGCAACAATAGCCGCAGCAGCTCATGATGAGAAACGTCAAGACAAAGAACATGAAAACACTCCAGAAATCCATGGCGAAATCGTCCAGGTCGTCAAACTCGAAGTCGTCCACTGCGAATAGCAAATATGAAAAGAGATTGCACAAATGAGGGGGTATGAAACTTACGTTTGTTTAACTTCTGTGAATAGTTAAGAGTAAATTCCACTTGTTGCAGTCGGCTGCAGAGCGTTAAATGGATTGCTGAGCCTTCAGTATTCTCTATGCACACGTGTACTCTACAGTTCTCCAAGCAATTTCACTGGCTAAACACAGCACACTGCTATGTTAATCAATATTTTAATAATCTAATCAAATGACGTTAATCTGAAACTCCACTTGCAATCATTTTTAACAGAGACGGTAGTGTTGCAGGATTTCGGAAACCTGGGATGTTGTACAGCACTCTTTGGTGGAGCAGAAACAGCTGTTATATTTCAGTGTTGCTTAACAGTATCACTCAAAAATACCTACATGCTTCTTTGCCATCAATGCTGGGACATGCTCTCTTTCGCACACTCATGTTTTATGCTTTTTAAAAGCTTATTCTATAAAAAATACAATAAAAATGAGTGCTTAAAATTAGTCAATCCTGAAGAAAATTGATTCATCTATAGGATAAAATTATGTGTTCAGTGCTGAGGGTCCTAGCCAGCTAGTTATATTAAGCCGAATATAAAAATCGAGGAATATGATTTTCGATCGAAAATAGAACGATTAACCCATTTTCGACAAGTGGGTATTCATGTATACTGCTCGAAGGTGATGAAACTTGGATAATTTAAGCGCAGTTCAGGTGAAAGACATCGTGGCAATAGTAAGTATTGATTTAAAAGAAGAATTTACAAACAGTAACGCCTTTCGTGGCAAGTTTTTACCTGTTCAAATAGAGGGGGGCTAAGTGGGCTAATGGAATAATACTTATTTTGGTATATTACAATAACGGGCTATTTTGTATTATTATGACCATCTCATATAAAGGAAAATACTGTTTTATATTATTAGAACTAAGAAAGAAATGATCTCAATTAAAATAAAAGTAGGTTACTTTTTTATTGATAAAAAGAAGTTTTTTTCTCGTCGGTATATTTTGAAACTGAGATGGTATATTTCGGTATATTCCTGAGGACCAGTCACACTGTTTGACATTTTTATCATGGCGATTTTCTTTTGACTTTGACATCCACTGGGCGCACGTGTTTTCGGGCATAGCTCTGTGTAAATTTTAGTAAAAAGCAAAGTAAATATCACAGTGAATTGGAATCAGCGTGAAAAACAGCGTAGACTAATCTATAAACATTGAACTTTTCGTGTGTGCAGATGAATCCGGAGAAGCTTAAGAAGTTGCAAGCGCAGGTGCGCATTGGTGGCAAGGGCACCCCCCGTCGCAAGAAGAAGATTGTGCACTCCACCCCCGCAACCGACGACAAGAAGTTGCAGTCGTCCCTGAAGAAGCTGTCGGTGAATACCATTCCCGGCATTGAGGAGGTGAACATCATCAAGAACGACGGCACCGTCATCCACTTCAACAACCCGAAGGCACAGGCTTCGCTGCCAACGAACACGTTCGCCATCACTGGACACGGTGAGAACAAGACGATCACCGAGATGGTCCCTGGCATCCTCACACAACTGGGACCCCAGGACATCAACCAGCTGAAGAAACTGGCCACGGAAATCGCCAACAAGAGCGCCGCCGGTGGTGCTGTCGGCGCTGCTGGAGCGGATGCCGGTGACGATGATGTGCCCGATCTGGTCGAGAACTTCGAGGAGGTGGCTATTGCCGGTGCCAAGGCTGACGAGAAGGCTGGTGAAGTGGCGGCCTCGGCCTAATAAGTCATCGAGGTTGAGGCGTAGACACACACATACACTTTAAACAAAAAACCACACACACACATACAAAACTTACGACGACAGAAGGAAAGAAGGGGCCAGTGGCTGGCATGCAGAACACACCGTCAAGCAGATCCTCTTCTCCCCTCTGGATAGGTGTGTGGGTGATGGGAGTAGTTGGACTGCTGGCATGTGGTTTGTTACTGGATGCGCCGCCCGCCCAGTTCCTTTTTCTATTTCGGGGGTCATGCTACACTAAACTAAATACAAATAAAAAGGCATCCTAGCGAGCGCTAAACACAACACGTTAAATATAATAATTATATCTAATATAATAAGGGAACTTTCAATCTTAGAACTACTCGTAGTGTAGCTGGAAACGAAATGTACAACCGTAAAATGTATTTTCCAATACGATTAAAGCACGTTTCCTTCTATACGAAAAACAAAATACACAGACACACATCCACAACGCCGCCCGTCTCGTATTGTTTCCGCCACCCACACAAAAACACATACATACATTTTCTACGGTTTTGAGGAGATATTCAATTTTAAAAAGTGATTTTAGGGGACAACACAGACACTCCAGAAGAAGTCATTGCCAGGTTGATGCGGGGGACAGAAAGTAGACGGATGAATATATACTTATTTATAGCATTAGCTCATACTTAACCTGCTTTCTTTTCGAAATCCAAATCCCAACCCCAATGATGATGTATCCCCCCGGCTTCAAAAACGCATGTAAACATGAGAGTCCCCATCAAAGCTAAAACGAACTTGAACCAAAATTGTTGTAAACATTTTTCTAATTTGTAAACGTATTTTTTAGACCATCATACATACATTAAAAGAACTGGAAAGAAAACATTTATATTTCTGGCGTTTCTTATTTTTCTTGCATAATCTGTAGTGGTGTGCGCGCCTGGCATGTGTGTGTATGCCTGGCAACGCCTTCTGTGCGAGAGGGGAGCAAAAAGCACGCGGCAGTCAAAACTTGTTGACATTGAGATTCGGGCTTTAAAGCAATCGGCAGCTGTTTGTGGGCACAATAACTGAACCTTAGCGCGTTTCATTAATTAGATAATGCCTATGCCTCGGCTAGGGTTCTCGTAATAACAAAATTATACGCCAAAATGCGAAAAAGAGCGAAAACCAAATGTTTGCCGTGTGCATCTGTTCTGTGTGTGTGTGAGGCATGCGTTTCTGGGAGTATGTGTGGGATTTGTTTTAAATTTCTGTCATGAGTCACGGCCATAACTCGAATTATAAATGGTTAAAAATGTAGCGATTCGCGGATTGCGGTGCGCTGATAGGACTATTTGCCGGGAACGTTTCTTGAACCTTCTATAACTACAAATTGCGGTTGGGTTTCTTATCAGTTTCGGCCTACTAAAACGTATGTACATATGCATGTACAGGGCAAAGGCTAATGCACATATGTGTATATAAGCATAAAGTCTGAAAATGGTACATATGTATGTAGTTTAATTGAAGAATTGATGTTAATTTGGGCTGCAATAAACAAAATCAAAAACCATCTTTCCGCGACCTGAGCTGGGCCAATATTTTTGCCATTACTGTTTATATTGGGTGTTGCCATCTGGCAAACATTTTTCCCGCAAAAACAATTTTTAAAAATATTTGTTACTGTTTAAACTAATTACAATGTTCGCATTTCCTTTTTGCATATACTGCAGACAACCTTGCAGCTGGCGGGACCAGAGCTGGGACTCTCCACTCGATGATACACTGCGGCGGCACCAACCTCGGGAATCACCCTGGGACGATTTCCGGGGCGACTCTTCTTGTTGCCGCTCTCCACGCAGCAGCAAAGTAGAATACTGAGCGGCACAGCCTCCCCCTCCTCCAGGGTCTGTGGAAGATTCCTGTTCCGCGTCTCTGGCAGCAGAAGGCTGGCAAATCCGCCAACAATGAGCAGCACTCCCATCACAATCAGCGGCAATGCCAGCATTTGCTGGCCCTGCAACGAAACAGAAGCTACGGGAAACGGGTCGGGATCTGGACAGGTTCATGGGCACTCACCATGTGATTGATAATGGGAATGACAATGGGCCCGATCATGGCTACCACAGAGCTGAAGCTCATGCCCAGGCCCCGCACCACCGTGGGATACAGCTCGGACGCCAGCAGCGGCAGCACCACAAAGGACGAGCTGATGCCCATCTTTCCGACACAGTACAGCAGCAGGGTGATTTTCGGAAAGAGGAACGTGGCGACGCAGGCCACTCCCCCCACGAGCATCGAAATGAAGAGGATCCAGCGCCGTCCGAAGTAGCTGAGTCCTGGCCAGAGAAGCAGATACGTGGGCAGCTCCACGGCCCCGGCCAAGAAGAAGTTCCATATCTCGTCGCCGCCCAAGGCAGGAGCGTAGTAGCTCAGGCCGACATAAACGCTAGTGTTGGCGAACCAGATCAGAGTGATAATCAGGGTCTTGCGGCGCATGTTGGTGCCCCGAAATAGATCCAAGATGCCATAGTGCATGGTGGCTGACGACTCCGCGGCCTGCGTTGTCACTAGGCGATGCTGCAGGCGCTCTACGAAGTCCCTGGTGATGCGTACTCCATTCACGCGTGCCATTACTTTGAGGATCTTGGTAGCCCGCTTCGTCTGCCCCACGGCCATCAGCCAGCGAGGAGACTCTGGCAGCAAAAAGAAGCAGGAGAAGAGCATCAGTAGTGGCATGGACACGGCTAGACTGAGCTCTCGCCAGTCCCGCACAATGTAGATCACGCCGGCCAGGACGACCAGTCCCAAGGAGTAGGCAATGTTTGAGACGATTGTGCAGAAGACGCGACGATCGGGACCCACTAGTTCTATGGCGAGGACGTAGGGACTCGCCAGAATTGCCGGCACTGTCAGCCCCACCACAAAGCGGAGCCCCAGCCAGACGGAGAAGTTCCACGCAAAGGCACTAGCCGCACAGGCAGCAATCTCCAGCAGCAGATAGGCGTAGAAGGAGGGTCGTCGCCCCCACATATCCACCAGATAGCCGAACACGTAGTTCCCAAGCAGTCCACCCACTCCAAAGATGACCAATGCCAATGTCACCAGGTAGCTCCTGTCGCACACCAGATTCCACTGCAAACGGATAGAGTCAGAGAGGAGTAGCAAGAGACAGAGAAAGAGATGGTTATACACACCTCTTGGACCACTGTGCTGGAGTAAATGGACTTGTCGTAGTGCCAGCCATGCTGGCAGGGCACTATCCGCGCAGACTCCGGGTGCAGACTGAGCAAATCTTCAGCCTCTTGCCTAATCAGATCAAAGGGCGGTCGGTACTCCAAATACCGGACAATGTCGCTGTAGTTGCGGGCATACATGGAGCACTCGGCGTAGGCGCCTTGAGGGTTTCGCGGGATGCTCAGATTCTTCACCAGCTGCACATAGTCTTGGGTCCATGGCTCCAGCTCTGGTACTCGACACCAGTGCTGTGGAGTGGCCGCGATGAATAGTTGACTGCAAGGATGCCAAAGGATAGGAATCACTGCACCCAAGAAATCCACGTGCTTACCTGTAGGCGTGAAAGGCACAGGGCAGGGCAGCCGGCAGCAGCACCGAGCATATAATGACCTTCTGGTAGAGACCGAAAGATCCCACCTCCTTAAGTACCTCATCGAAGTCCATGTCGTCTGCATCCGAGCCAAGCGCGCGCACAACTAACGAGCTGGTGCTGGGGACCTTGCCCACTTCCAGGCCAGGAATTGACGACGAACTGCAATCGCCACAGGGGCTGATTGAACATAATTACATTACGGCCTTTCATCTGTTTTAATTAATTGGACACCGCGGCGTGGACAAGGTTCGAGATTTGTGGACACAGTTGAGCCACCGATCCACACTGCAAAACCCAACCAAAGCGATCACTCGGACACGGTGGGCTGGCTAGTAGTCAAATTTGTATTTCTTCGTATAGGGTACATAAAATTAAATTACATATTTCTAGAACTGGAACGCGAACGGCCGCCGACATGGAGACGGACTGGTCTAGTTGCGGGCCAATCCGATGATGGTCAGTATGTACATGAAGATGTTGACGATGTCCAGGTAGAGGTTGAGGGCCGCGAAGATATACTCCTCGGGACTGATCGAATACTTGTGGTTCCCGCCCAGCATCAGCTGCGTGTCGTAAACCAGATACACGGAGAAGAGCAGGGCACCCAGCGAGGCGTACACGAGGCCGATCACCTGGCCCGGTATGAAGATGGCAATGATACCAAAGATGATGAAGACTACCAGGCAGGCGACTAGCACTCCGCCGCACATCGTAAAGTCCCACTTGGTTTGCAGTGCGAAGATGGTGAGGCCCAAGGCCACGGCTGCCGTAATTCCCACGGCCATCAGTACCTCATTGGCCTCGTACTGGCCGGCCACCATGCCCAGCAGGAAGGATTCGGCGATCGTGAACAGGAACAGGAATATAAAGTTGAGCGGCGTTTTCCGGCGAACGCTCTCGCAGCAGGCCATGCATATCATGGTCACAATGAGAACGGCCTGGAAAAAATAGAGAAGAAATGTTATATCCAAACAGGATAGCCTGTGCCTATCAAGAGGCAGCCACTCACCAGGGCGATCCAAACGAGGTATGGGTTCTTCTGTACCCATTCCTGTGTACCCTTTGAGAAGGTGAACACGCTGACAAACCCGAACGTGATCAGCAGTTGTACCTAGGAAGCAAGACAGATTACAGCTAATGAGATATACATTGATTAGCTGCTGCTGGTTCACTTACCATCAGAATGAGATACACCTTCCGTATGAAGCCCTTCCTGATGCTCTGGTCATCAAAATCGAAGGTTTTGTCGGCCTCCCCATCTGTGTAGGCGCCAGTTTCATCGCCTATGGATGGAGACAGGTTCAAAGGAATTGGGTATTAATTCAGCGATGACTAACCGTATTGAAAGTGGGTGCTCATGGCTAGATTGTTATAGATAATATACAATATATATGCTCTCTCTCTGGATGTATGCCGCCGCAGTTACGGTTCGTGCGAGTTGTTCCGCTTGCAGGTGACGATGGTCTAACCCATTTGCGCTACCAGAAGGTATCCCATATGGCCGACAGTTTGCAGATTAGTCCAAACGCTTATCAAATTGACTCTCACACACACACACACACGGGCAGCAGTGGATGCAGATAACAGATAATGTACACTCACACGCACATATGGATGTGTGTGCTGTTGAGTAACAGATATGTATGTATGTTGTGGCCCAGCAAATGTTCGATATCTCGCACCCTCAGTAGGTGAATCACGACAAATCGTGCAACACAATTATTGGTCCCAGAGGGAGAGAGCTCAGGCAATTGTCGATTATTTTATCGCCACAACTCTTCTTTTGGCTTAGCCGTCATCGGCATTACTCCCATCCTGTACTTGCCTTGCTGGTAGTGATACATTTTATTTGTATATTGCGGCTAAATCGATGACTACGACTACGACTGGTTGGAAATCACTCGAACTACTGAGCACCAGGTGTCGGTGGCGGTGACCCGGTTGCACACACAATTTAAAAGACACCAAAACTCACACGCACACAATCGTGTGGCTTTGATAAGAAAGTCAACCCAACTAACGCGACAAAAATGATAAAGCAAAGGTATTTTATTTGATAAAGTACCCCTTTTTTGGGGTAATGGTAATCCGTGCGCAAGCGACGCTGGCCGACTGCAGACTGATGATGTTGAATGCCACTGACGGTGGCAATGCCCCCAGGCTGAGCTGCGATGGGGAAGACCTACAAACGCTGCTCTCTGTGGTCAGAACAATCCAGCTTTAATAAATAGACGCTCTTTATTGTTGATTTTAAACTCAGTGTTGCTGCAGGGCTTACATCGTTCGGTATTAGATTTACAATTACAGTTCGGAACTCTAGCTTTTGTTTTTTGTTTTGTTTTTACAAAGTTAAACGTATTTAACAATTGCAAACCGTGTTGCATATATAGTATATGTATATGTAGGTATATATGTTCATATAAATATGTATGTATATACGTGACTATTTATTGTTATTATTTGAATGGCATATCATTTTGGTATTTAATAATTATCCTCGCAGCTGAATTTCGAAAATGCCCTGAATAGGGTTAAGGGGAAACATTTGAAGATTTTCAAAATTATGCCTGTCGGAAACCACCTTAAATACGAATTACATAACAAAAAGTAAATTAATATGTTAATTTTGTATTTACTTCACCTTAAAAACTACATATAAGGAAACTGGAACTGGCCACACACAACGCGAAAGATATACATAAATAGATAGTAAATATTGGAGTAATCTTTAAGTTGAAGATTGCCGCCGTTTTGTTTCGTTTCTCGATTTCAAAACAGGTTAGAGGCGAATGAGAGATTATGCGGCAACAATATCGATAAGCCGGTTAAAGCTAGACCCGGTTAAACTGTAAAGAACTGTATTTGGAAATATGCAGATTGCCTGCCCGTTGGATCCTCTTTAGTCGCGCGAGGCTCCAATTATAGTCAGAATGTACATAAAGATATTGATGATGTCCAGATAGAGATTCAGGGCCGCGAAGATATACTCCTCGGGACTGATCGAATACTTGTGATCGCCGCCCATCATCAGCTGCGTGTCGTAGATGAGGTACACGGAGAACAGAAGCGCTCCGAATGAGGCGTAGACCAGTGTGATGATTTTGCCCTTCATAAACATTGCCACAATGCCGAAGATCAGGAATACCACCATGCAGGCAATCAGAATGCCACCCATCATGGTAAAGTCGTATTTGGTTTGCAGAGCGAAGAGCGTAAGGGCTAGACAAACAGCCGCCGTTATACCCACTGCCAAGAGTACCTGAAATCAAAAGAGAATCGATCAGCAAGCTGCGAAAGCATTAACATGGAAGTACGCTTACCTCGGTGGGGGCATAGCGAGTGGCCGATACGCCCATTAAGAACGACTGAGCGATTGTAAATATTCCCAAGAAGATGAAATTTGTCGGTGTCTGCCGGCGAACGCTTTCGCAACAGGCCATACTCAGCATGGTGACCAGCATTACGCCAAGAGCCACCCAGAAGAGCCACATGTTTTTGGCGGCGAAGTTTCTAGTTCCCTGGTGAAAAACGAACAGAGCAACTGCTCCGAAAGTAACCAACAGTTGACCCTAAATGAAGAACAAATTGAGAATTTAACTGAAGTTGCATAATATCGTGATTGCACTTACCATTAGAATCAAATACACTTTGCGTATGAAACCGCGACGGATGCTCTGGTCGTCGAAGGAAAAGTTCTTGGGCTGACTCTCTGGATCGTCGTAGGCGCCATAGCCCCCCGCCGAAGGTGGTGGCTGAATGAAGCCCGGCTGCGGTGCATAGCCACCTGGTGGTGGTCCCTGACCATAGGGTTGGCCATACGGTCCCTGTGGATAGGGTTGAGCTCCACCCTGGGCATAGGGCGGATAACCGCCTTGAGGAGGTCCTTGCGGAGGATAGCCGCCGCCGTAGCCTCCTTGCGGTGGATAGCCACCGTAATTGTATTGCTGATTTGGATCTGTTGAAGACATTTGAACTTAGCTTTTGCTCTGGTGCTTAATATGTAGTTTTTCTTCTAGAGCATTCCACAAGGCCCAAAAGATGAATATTCTATGGAGAAAAGAATGCGCATTCGCTACCCAGAACTGTGAAATCGGAATGATTCGCTTTGGATGGCTGCGCAAAGTCTTTACCGAAAAAAATGAGAGAGTAACGATAACAAGCATCCAACAATTCTCTAGAGTAAACACATTCAACCATGATAAGGAAGTACAGATACAAGTTCTTAATGGAAAGAGTACGATATTACAATGATTCAACTTTTTATGTGGAGTTTCGCAGCTCTGCGAAAACCGCACCAGCGCAGCAGGTTACGATTGATGCAATCCTCCAAAGAGAGGCAAGGAGACGGGTTACAAAAACAGAAGCATGCGAGAACCCAAAAAGCAATTAATTTAGATAAATAAATTTGCAATAAAATTAGACCTTGGTACTGGGGATACTGGGGGACACTTTGCCACGACATTGCAACAGTGGGTACTGTCCTCGGCCTTTCTCTCTTTCTCTTTCTCTAAAGATCTCTAACAGATGCTGCTGTGAAGTAGACCCAAGAAACTTTCGGTTAGTCAAGCTTTGGCCCTTTGCACTCACCTTGCATTGTTGAGGTCGCTGAGTAGCACTAAGTTAGATGAGAATTTACCTACAAACAGAGATGGAAGGAAAAGTGATAACATAAAATAAGTGCTGATACATCACCGACACTGCTCGGCTAATTAAATTAGCAGCGCAGAAATGTGGTTCATTAATTGGAAAAAGTTTCGTTTTTGTTTGAAACGCGAATCTTGTGGCATGCAACTTCAATTATCAATTAATTCGGGCTCTTCCTGGTAGCTTTATGGATTTGTTGTGGCATAAATGACGTGGGTTCTCGCCAAACTGTATGCGTGCGCGTGGGAGTGCTGTGCTCTTGAAGGGGAATGCTGTTTATTAATTTAACTACCCTACATACACACACAGCTCAACACGTTCGTTTTGAACTAGTCGTTGCTATTAAATTGGCGCAGCTGGAGTCTACACACATCAATAATACATACTCGAGCGGTTTGTTTGTATACGCCAGAAAAACGGTGACTCACTTATCTCATCCCACCATAACCACCACAAATATACCGGGGAAGAACATCAATTTGAGAATCAGTTGAAGTTGCTTAATGCCATGGCGTAAGACCGAATCTTTAAACTTTAAGATAACTATTTACCTCTGGATTGGATTGTTTACAAAACTGCTCACACAAACCTCCTTTTGTTTTTCTGGATTATTCACGAAATTGTTCTAGAGATGTGCTAGTCGAGCTATTGAATAAATACCTATCGACAGGCAGGGAGGATTAGTATAGTAAAGGTGGCGCAAGTGGCATCACAGTTGTTTCACTACACTTCTTTTTAAAGACCAGTATTAAGATCAGCATTTTTATCGTACTTTGTCGATAGTGTGACCAAAGTGGGCAAAGTACATGCTTTACGGGTTCAGACAGCTGTGTTGTTTTGTTTACTTTTTGAAAACTAAGAGAAAAGTTAATAATAATGGACGCAAGGAGGAAATTATTAATTGTGGGATTGGCGGCTCTTGTTGTAGCAGAGGAGGAGGACAATGAACGAAGAAAGCGGCGACGACATTGGGTAAATCCATACCTGCAGGATAGAAACGAGAAGGTTCGATTTTGTACATATATTCAAATGGCGCTAACAATATCTTTTGTAAATCTCGTAGTATGAAAATATATATCGGAGGCCATCAGTATTCTTTGAAAATTTTCATATGACTGAAAAGGACTTCTGTGGTCTTTTCGGATTGGTGGAGCCGTACTTGGTCCCGAACCGGAATACTCGCCCAGAAGCGATCCCGCCTAAAGCCAAGTTGGCCATTGTTTTAGAGTGAATATTTTATATGTCCGTGCATTTATACATAGTATATAATTTGTTTTTTAGGTTTCTTGCTTCCGGTGACTTGCAGCGCCACGTTTGTTCCACTTATCGTATAAGTAAACAACACTTCGAAGTAATTATAGGGCAAGTGTGCGAGGCCATATGCATTTCCCTGTCGAAAGAATTCCCCAAATGGCACAAGGACAGCATGTTACAGTGGGCTAAGGACTTTGAAGAGGAATGGAACTTTCCGAACTGCATTGGAGCCGTAGGCGGAAAGCATGTGGCGATAAAGGCACCACCTAATAGCGGGAGCAGGTTTTGTAATTACAAAGTATGTCGCTTATTCAATTTGAGTAACATTTAATATTAATGCCTCCCTTCATGTTCAGGGCTTTCACTCGATTGTGCTAATGGCCATTTGCGACGCCCATTATAGGTTCACCTATATAGACGTTGGCGCCTGTGGAAGTGAGGGAGATATGAATGCTTTCTCACAGTGTGAGTTTGGAAAAGCATTGTTGTCGGAAACACTGAATTTTCCTGACGACAACGCTCTAAATGGAGAGCGAACTCCATATTTTATTGTTGGAGATGATGCGTTCCCTCTGCATAAGCGTATTATGAAGCCATTTGGCTCCCGGAACCTGGCAGTGGACGAGCGTGTATTTAATTATAGACTGAGCCGAGCTCGACGTTGCATTGAGACAGCTTTTGGAATTCTTTGCGCTAGATGGATGGCTGTGCAACGTACTCTGCTGAGCGGACCGGAAAAGTCACAAAATATTGTAGCCGCATGTTGTTCGCTGCACAATTTCCTCTTGCGCACAAGCCCCAGTACGTATGCCATAAATGAAGACTCACTAATTAAAGCGGACACCGTATTCACCGATCTCCGGCCCTGTTGCCGCGGTCGCCCTCATGACTTTTGCAAGTCCATTAGAGTCAACTTAAAAAATTTTGTGAACAGCCCAGCCGGGTCTGTCGCATGGCAAAATGAAGCTGCTGGCGTCCAAAATAATTAAAATATTAAAAAATAATTATACGTAAAGAACTTATAACTAGTCCATTCGTTCTCCAGCTTTTTTCAACTCCCTTTTCCTTGCAATGATCAACTGCGTTACATCGTCCTCTACTTCTGCCCTATCCTCCAGGGGCAACGAGCTCAGCATGTAGTCCCAGTATGCCGAAACTGGATTCATGACAACTGCTTGAGCCTCTTGCTGATTGACCAGTTTTTCCAGGATTTCACACACCTGAGAGGCAGATGTTTCATTTTTAGGCACAGATCGCTTCTTTGCTTTGCTTTCCTGTAGAAAAGAGTTAAGTAATTAGAAATTTATAACTGAGTTGGTCAGGTATCCTACTTACATAAGAATACGTAGAGCTACTGAAATCGTCCAGCTCCTGCTTTATATTCAACTCGCTCTCGGACCAATTGGTCTCCAAAACCGCAGTATCATCCAGCCCGACTGGGCTGGACTCTGTATCCTCCTCGGGAAAGAATATAGAGGTAAACGTCCTGTGGGAAAACATTAAATGCAACATGCTCTCAAAGAAATGTATGTATGTTTAAAACCTACCGCCTCTGAGTGAAAAGGTCGGGCAAGAATGCCATGTGTGGGGCAAACACCCACTCCACACTTTCATTTGCCACTGGGTTCTCCATTTGGACCCCTCCTGCACTTCCATTCTTCAACTGCTTCTTGGTTGCTGACTTGATGTGGTATCGGTAGCTGTCTTTCAGCGATTTCCAAGCTATTTTACAACTATTCGCTGAAAAACATTTGTTCCATTTAAATTTTCTAATTAATTTAAGTTTTACTTACCATCCTTCTTTATTTCAGCGGCAACAGATTCCCATGCACTCTTTGATGCAATCGTGTCAAAATGTTTGCGATCTTTAAGGTTCCAAATTACTGGCCTTTTCTCCACTGCCTTTATTAGATCCAGCTTGGAATCCCTATCGAACTCCGCCACCCGGCTGGTCTTGCTTCGCTTGATTTCCATTTTCAAATGTGAATGTGTGTGTGTTTTTGTCAACAAAAGATAGAATAATTTTATGTTTTGCTCGAGATGGGAAAATACTATCGGTTGTTTTTCTAGTATCTATCTGGCTAAAAAACAGAAAAATTTCAGAATAGATTTGATTTGAAGTGTAGTGTAATACGAACTCACTGTGACGTCAGTACAAATAAAATGGTTTTGCGACACCTTGCAAGTGCATAGCGACTATCGATAAGCTGCAACTCGCATGCTGCAATCGTCCACAACATTCGTGTAATCTTTCGTTTCTGTATTAAAAAAGGCGAGAATTTGCTGGTAAGTTGGGTGCAATTGCTTGAACAATGTAAATAGTCAATAAGTGACGGTGAATCATACCGAGTGCGGCCATTGTCTCAGCGAACACAAGCGTTTAAGTTTAGGTTATGTGTGCGTGCCGTGCCGCTTGTGACAAAGGGCTTCCACTCGCGACATATGGAAAACGAAGGTGGGGGTTGCTGACCTGCATTGCGAAAGAGCCGGAAGCCTCTGTCATTTAATTCGCAAATGGGACATCTCATCCGCTAGTTTCTATTTATAAAGATAGTGACGCAACGCCTCTCGTCCCCCTCTGCCTACCATTCCATTCCACTAGTCGCCTGTTGCTTATCAGAATCTATGCGGTTTACGAGTTTGTTTTGTGGTACTATATTGAACGATAAAATTGTATTTTACAGCCGTTTGTGTGCATTCCAACATGGTCGAGGACAAGGAAAACGTGGCAGATGGGGAGCAGGTCTCCAAGAAGGGAGCCAAGAAGCTTGCCAAGGCAGCCAAGGTAATTTTGTGATTCTGCGGACGTGGCGTGAGTGTTTTGGTGGCGATAACAGCTCTAATACGTTTACCATTATCTCCACAGAAAGCCGAGCTGAAGGCGGAGACGGCGACTGCTATTGCTGCTAACAATGCAGCTGGTGACAGCGCAGAGGACAGCGCTGCAGGCCGCTATGGCCTCTCCGAGATGATTCAATCGAAGGACAAGCGCAGCGAGCGCAATTTCGTGGCCGTGCACGAGCTGAGCAGCCACGTGGAAAAGGGATTGCTCTGGGTGCGAGGACGCGTCCACACTTCGCGGTCCAAGGGCAAACAGTGTTTCCTTATCCTGCGCCAGCAGAGCAGCACAGTGCAGTGCATCCTGGCTGTGGGCGACATCATTTCCAAGCAGATGGTGAAGTTCGCGGGAAAGTATGTCCTTTACAATACACCAAGCATGATCATTCAATTCTAATCCCAATCATCTTTTTGCAGTATTCCCAAGGAGAGTATCATCGATATCCAGGCCAAGCCAGTCTCAGTGCCCAACAAGATTGAATCTTGCACGGAGCAAACACTGGAGCTGTGTGTTGAACAAATATTTGTAATTTCCCAGGCCAAGGCTCAGTTGCCATTGCAAATTGAGGATGCCTCGCGTCCAGAGAACGCCGATGATGAGGGGCTCAACATTCGCGTCAATCAGGACACCAGACTGGATAATCGTGTCCTAGATCTGAGAACACCGGCCAATCAGGCCATATTCCGCCTGGAGGCTGGTGTCTGCCGCTTGTTCCGTGATATTCTCACCGAGCAGGGCTTCACCGAGATCCACACCCCGAAAATCATTTCGGCAGCCAGTGAAGGAGGAGCCAATGTGTTCACCGTCAGCTATTTCAAGGATTCTGCCTATTTGGCCCAGTCGCCACAGCTGTACAAGCAAATGGCCATTGCCGCCGATTTTGACAAGGTGTACACCGTGGGTGCCGTGTTCCGTGCAGAGGACTCGAACACCCACAGGCATCTGACGGAGTTTGTGGGCCTCGACTTGGAGATGGCCTTCAAGTACCACTACCACGAGGTGCTCCATACAATTGGCAACACGTTCACAGCTATTTTCAAGGGATTGCGCGACAAGTACAGCCGTGAGATCGAGTCCGTGGGCCAGCAGTATAAGGTGGACGCCTTTAAGTTCTTGGAGCCACCACTGATACTGCAGTTCTCGGAGGGCGTGGCTATGTTGCGCGAGGCAGGCGTGGAGACGGGCGATGAGGAGGATTTGTCGACGCCAAATGAGAAGCTGCTGGGTCGTCTGGTCAAGGCCAAATACGACACTGACTTCTACATCCTGGACAAGTTCCCACTGGCGATACGCCCCTTCTACACGATGCCCGATCCCAGCAACTCCACTTACTCCAACTCCTACGACATGTTCATGCGTGGCGAGGAGATCCTGTCAGGGGCACAACGTATACACGATCCCGAGTACTTAATCGAGCGTGCCAAGCACCATGGTATCGGTTAGTATCTCTGAATGAAGCTCTTCCCCAACTGCTCCTCTTAAATCCAAATTCATCATCTATCTTGTTCCAGATACCACCAAAATTGCGGCATACATCGAGTCCTTCCGCTATGGCTGCCCACCGCACGCTGGCGGTGGCATTGGCATGGAGCGAGTGGTCATGTTGTATTTGGGCTTGGATAACATTCGCAAGACCTCCATGTTCCCACGCGATCCCAAGCGGCTAACGCCTTAAACACATCACCACACACCCCCCTGATACTCTATCGATTTGAATTAAATTCGAAAACTCTATTGTTTTAATATCCCTGTGACCTTCCAATCCTTTTCCACTTATTTTTATTTAAATGCTGATCCCATATTCCCGCCTACGTATGTGGCCGGCCCTCCTTCAACGTCAAGACTAGCATGCTGCAGAGTTGTTTAACAACACGAACACTGCAAGACAAGACTGCCAAGAGTCAGGTTTAATAGAATGATGTGTGAGAAAATAAATCTGTACGCGTGTCTTTGTACTTTATTCATCAAAAGTTAATTGCTTTTGGGTATTTTGAACAGACTTTCAATATGGAAAATTGTCAATTGTTCAACCGAAAAACCGATTCTACGTGGGGTTTATTTTGATCGATGGGTTATAATGGCATATGAGCAGTTGTGGGGCATTTCTGCCCTACATCCAAGATTATGAATTCTGTATCATACACAGGAAAGACTAAACTTGCCATAGCAGACAGATCTTAAGCTGTGCAAAGATATTAAACACTGCAATGATACACTTCCTCTGCTGATGGAACCCTATAATGTTTTTTTTCCAGCAAACTATAGAAGCTGAAGTCGGGTGCCAATTTTCCCTGTAAAGTCTTGAGAAATTCACGCAGCATGTTTTCCCATAGTCGTAAAGCCAAAGCCAATAATTTAACGTACATAGATAATTCCAAGAAGAGGACGAGAAGCATTAAAGCAAGATTTCAAGTAAAATTGAATACTAGAACACCAATTAAAGAGTAACCGACCAACTCAAGGCTCCGCCGTGTCTGCACCTTGTCAGCCACAAACCATCACCACAATAAATTGTATTCATTTGGAATCAGATTATTATCAATAGGTGCACGTCACGCTGCGAGCTGTGGGGCATGGGGCAGATGGGAGCACTGCGAACACTGTTGACACAGTTGGCGCATACTTTACGTGGGGAACAAAAGGACGAATGCGAATTCCTTTCAATCTGGTGTGTACCGGCCTGCCTGCCTGCTATCGGGAAACGGACTTTAAAATCAAACATGGTCGAGTCCATAGACCAGAGGAAACACACGCAGACATTTACAGTATATCGTATATATGTATACGTTGCGGAGGAGTTTCCGTCTACTTCAAGACACAATTGAGACGCACTCCATTTTATTTTCACACCACACCGATGCGAGGCATCGTTAGCTCAGACACCAAACATGCAGCAGCGGCGGCAGCAGCAGCAGCAACAACGACAACAACAGTAATAACCCTCAAAACAATCAAATGGGCGGGGCGTCCGTGAATAGCTGACTGGTACACATCAGTTGTCCCGCTTGCGCACACTCCATTCCCGGCTGGTACGAGCGGGAGAGCACTTCCAAATGCCATTTTGTTTTCGACCTTCTCTTCCGGCGCAGCAGCTGGCAACACTGCTACAGCGCGCGCTCCTCAAGCCAGTTTGTTTTGTATCTTCCGATTGAGCGGCAGCGGAGCTCGTGCCTCGTGATTCCTCCGATTCCTCCGATTCTCCGATTCGATTCTCAGCTGCTGCCCGCCGCGTCTGCCGTTTCGTTGTCCCGACGTTTATCCGACGTGAAAATTAACAAGAAATAAACCCGAAAAGGAATCCCAGTGAGCGATTGCGGCAAGTGCAGTTCATTTTTCAGTGCAATTAAAATAGAGATTTCTCCGGATCCGTCAAGCTGAACGGATGCGGCTCGTAATGCCAAAGTCAAGCGTCAAACTAATGTATTTCCCCTAGTGCCAGTGTTCCCGTCGCTGTCATCGCCTGCGCCAAGAATTTATGGAATTTGGCATTTTGTGAATTTAGCGAAAATATTTTCATTGAGTGCCCCCAGCAAATGTTTTGTGTGCTATGTCGTCTCTCTTGGCCTGGCAATAAAATTCACAAAAAGCAACGCGAAAATCTCAAATATTCACGTGCGAATTCCCCCCGCTTATAATTTTAATTACTATTCAAATTAACGGCACAAAACAAACGGATAACGACCCCATTAAAGCATCAGTTTTAATCAACCCCACAATATAAAAGAAAAGCCATGTCAGATTTGTGAAATTGTTGAATTTTTTACATATTCCAAAAGTGCACCACACATGATAAATATCTTGGGAAATATTCAGTAAATCTTGCGGTATTAAAAACCTGGAAAATCTTTGTGGATTACACGACTTTCAATCGGTAAGTTTATCAGCGATTGTCTATGAGCGGAGGGGATATTGCTAGTATAATTGCAAACCAATTGAATATGTATACCCTTCAATTGTAATTAAATTCCCTTTGAATTGGAATCACGTAACTGGAGACCTTTTTTTGTAATATGGAATACATTCTAACATCAAACAAAATTGCATTATAAATATGTAGCATGATTCACATCCCGTCGGAAGGATTTGGGTGCTTGTTCACCCATTCTCTCTTCCAATTAGAAGATATGCGCACTTAGGGCAGATGATTCAAAGGAGTAAACACATGGTTTGTCCGAAAAACAAGAAACACAGAAATATTTGTATCTAATTATAGACTGATGAATATTAGCCGACGGGAAAGGTCTGTGAATCGACCCAAGAAATATTAGAGCAAAGATTATGAAGAGCACACTGTTATTGGTACCCTTTTCTGTTCCTATTTTGAAATTTCACAAGATTAGGGAATGTACCTTTGAGGATAAGGAAAAGTAGACATATTAGATGATAGCCACTTCAGGGTTTGAGTGTTAAGCGAGACTCCTGACTCCATTCAGAGATTCCCGTCGCATCATTTTTAAACTAATACTTAGACACGGGGCAGAAAAATGTTCTTTAGACCAATAAAGCATACATATACATATGTAAATGTAAGTGCATAAATAAATTAAGTGCGGAAATGTTTTGATTTATAAGTACTTTGTCGCTTTGTAAGGCATTTCCCGGATTAAATAACAGTCGTCGTATAAAGTTCACATGCAAAATATACAAATATCTATCGTGCCCATTTTAATACCCCTCCTCAGAGACAGATAAAGCACAATCATGAAAATTCTCTGTGTCAACAGTGCTTCTTCTTAGAGCTAGCGCACTACACTCTCCTTAAATGTCCTTTGGAATCATGCAGGAACGTTTAGCTAGCTAAGAAAACATTTTCGTAGAGCATACCGTATCCTGAAAGTATTTTTTTCAATTTAATATGAACGTATTGTACAGATTCTTAAAGTATTGTTTGTATTGTTGGTTTATGTGCTTACATACATTTCCATGCTGCTTAAGTCGCCAAGATCTAACCATGAGTGAGTCTGGTATGTTCTGAATACCCCTTTTTTAGTTATTGTTTCGATTGTTCAAAGTTTAACTTCAAGAATAACTAATTGTAATAAATAGATACAATTTAAATAACAATAATAATAAATAATACAACTTAAACATGTTTTTAAGTGTTCCAATTGGGTCATATCCTTAGTTGTCCATCACCTTGTCCTATTCAGGAACAAATTTATTAAAGAATATTTGTATGAAAATATTAATATTGGACTTAGTCATACGAATTTTCAAACTGCAATGCATTATTTAAAAGCCCTTTGCTTGATTTAATAAAAGATTTAAGTATGTAACGGACTTACCCGACAGCTTTACATAAATGTATAAACTGTAGATTAATGCGAACTTTTAAGTTGGCCACAATTAAACAAATTGTTGACGCATTTTTTCCTCTCTTTCCCCGCAGCATGCGATGCTTCAACGGAAACGCGGATGAGAAGCAAAACTGGAGTTCCAACGCCGAAGGGAGTGACATGGAATGGCGTGGAGTGATGTGGAGTAGCCGTGTAAAATAGAAAACAAACGCAGTAGCAATCAACAATCAGCAGTTCACAATCCACAATCCACAATGTGGAAATGATAATTGCAATTGCCTGGCGGAGCAAACAAAGCAAAAACCAGTGAAGACGAGGGGCGTAAGGAAAGGCCAAGATAGAAAATACTCACGAACGGGAATTGCGAATTCAAAGAAAAATAAGTTTGTGAACAAAAGAAACGAAATAGCAACAGAAAGAGAGAGAAGAAAAGAGCCAAATAGGAGCTGTGGCGGAAAAAAAAGAAAAAAAAAAAACAACAAAAGTTGAAACAAAAAAGACGAAAAGCAATTAAAGCTCTGGATACAAACGCGATGGTGTTTTACAATATGTAAATATAATTAGCCGAGCGGAGTTTTCATTCCTGGAATTTCGCCAGCCAACAACAAGACACGCCACCACCGGGACAGCTTTGAGTCGTCGAGAGCAGATCAGAAAAGAGCGGAGCAGAGCCGGTTTTATAATTACACCAAGTTAGCTTTTCTCTCTCCGTATAGCTATCAATCTCTGTGTCTTGACGAGCTTAACGGAAGCTCCAGCCGGGCCCAGAGGCCTAGGCGCAGCTTAAAGACGATTCCAACTCCGATTCTGATCGGATTCCGATAGCCATTGCCATCCTGACAATTGGTGATTCCAAATTCCAAATCAATTTGACACTCGAATCGTTAAAAAAAAAAACTGTGATAACTCTGTGCGTGTACCGTGTGTACTGTGACTGTGAGTCGCTTGTATTGGTTTGTTGTGTGTGACTCGACGCAGTTGCAATTGCGGTTGCGACAATGGCAGTGTCCTGTCCCGAAGTTATGTACGGTGCCTACTATCCATATTTGTATGGGCGCGCTGGACCAAGTCGTTCATTCTATCAGTATGAGAGGGTGAGTATTTTTAATTATATTATAAACCGATCCATGCGACATATATTGTTAATGCTATTGATAAATTATTTAAAGTGTTGTTAGACAAATTGTACATAAATGGACAGATTGTACAACGGCGGTAGATTTTTTTTATTATCAATGCATTAATTATTATTCTCTTTGCTGGGGAACATTCCTTCCGATCGCTAATTATGGATTTTTGTTAAGAAACCAAGCCTAGGAAGTGTCCTCTATAGCTAAAGAATTTCCAAAATTGCATTCTATCGAAGCTCTGATAATACACTCCCAGAGAAAAATTCAGAAATTCGAATGCCAATAAAATGTCTGATCTATTTGAGCTATATATTAAAGAGTAAGTAGCAAGAATGGTACCCAAAATGAAAAAATGGAACAGAAACAACATTATAAAAAGAAAAACAGATTTAGAAAATATATAACAATATTTAAATTCTTAAAAATCTCCAGAATCGGAAACAATTAGAAGTCTTTAGTAATTCCTAAAATCTAAACAAGGATTATATTTGTTATTCTGCAAATACTTGGCAGAATGCTTAAAGAGCTTTGCCATATTTTCGCCATATTTCCAAACGTGTCCTAACGACCAACTCGCGACCTGATTGATCTTCTACCAATCAACGAAACTGCTACGCGACTTCAATCAATTTGTTTCGGCCAGATCGAACTGCATAATTAGAAGCTTCTAACAAATCATAAGAATTCACGCAGAACGCAAATCGATTTGGGACACCCGAAACAATAAAAATCCAACAGGCAGAAACGAGTAAAAGAAGGAGAAACATTTCAAGGAATTCCTTTCGGTCAATTTGGGCTTTGTTCGTATTATTTTTTGCTAACATTGATTTCGAAGATTTCGCTGTGATTTCTGTGACAAGTACAGAAAAGTTCTCACGATGCCAGAAAGGGCTCCCTCAGAGCCGGAGCAGAGTCTGGGGGCCCAGGCGACTGACTACTTGGGTCCGAGCCGAGGGCCTATTGGTCAGCAGTGTCTGGACGGACTCGGAATCGGACTCGGACTCTGGCTGTCGCTGGTTCACAAAGAAATTCTTGTGTCGCAAGTTCCAATTATACAAGGCCGCGGCACCAAATCGAAATTGGCCTTTTATGTAAGTAACCGATACGACACGATTCTGATTCTATGCTTTTGCATGCCCATAAAGAGTTGCCCATAAGAGATAAACCCTGGCCCTCACGCTGGATTTGTGTGCCAGGGTCTGGGTCTGGGTCTGGGTCTTGGTCTGAGCTCGGGACTCGGCCCGACTGCAGCCAATCGCAGATTGAGTCAGCAGCTTGAAGCTGAGCTGGATGACCGGTTTATTTGGCTGTGGGCTACCTTCAGGCCCAGCCGGACAACACAACGCACAATTTTGTCCTCCCGTCGACACTTTGTTCTCACTCCCTCCCCCCGCTCCACCGGCTCTTTGGGGGCAGCTAAAACAAACAAAAACCTTGGCGATCTCGTTCCCGTTCTGTTAATTTATTGTGTGTATCGCCATTAGTTCTTGCCGATCGCTTTTGGTCACCCATGCCCATGCCCAGGTCCAGCCACAGCCAGCCGCAGCCGCAGCCGCAGCTCCACAACCATTCCGATCCTGGGGCCTTTTGTCAACCGACACGGCTGCGATCAGATAACGCAAGACCCAAGGAACCCCGAAAAAGCTGAAAACCAAAAAAGTCAACCAAACTCCAACAGTTGTCGTTGGTTCGTCTCTGCTATGGGGCTCCCCTTTTGGTGATTTATGCCGTGTGATCGGCGGTTTGACCGCTCAGCATAATCGAAATATCGTTGCACCTAATAACAGGCGGTCATTGCAGCAGATACAGATACGCACTCTGTATCTGTATCTCTCGCGAGCATTGTTCTGCCGCGCATTGGGGGCTTCTGCACTTGTGGTATGGGTGTATCCTCCGCTTCCCCACTTGGGCAATTTGGCGACGATCCTGCTGCCGTCGTGTCGTCGCTGATAGTGTTTGGCGATAAGGCGCAACGCATTGATTATGTGCTTAAGCCAGGTGACAGATTCAGATACACGATCTGAGGGGCATATTCTGTCTGTGCTGTGCTGTGCTGTGTATCAAGTGTATCCAGTCATCGCTGCTCCCGGGATGTCTCAATTCCAATTGTATCTAACTCTGTGCTCCTCAGCTTTCTGGTGAGTCAGCGCTTTCTTCTAATTAAGTTGAATACTTTTAAATACATGTAACAAGCCGCAGCTCTGGACTCTCTTAAAGACACTAGACACTGCGATACACCCACTACAGACACAGACACAGGCACAGGCCCAAGACCAGGCCCTTGGCTGCTGCACATAAATCAATGCTTGCGCTGGCTGTCAATGCCCCCGATGCACTCTTCCAAATGGTTCGTGCCTGGTTAACCCATTATTAACCCCTTAGACGCGATAATAATTGGCATGTGCCCCGCCACTAGAGTGTAGTGCCACTGGAGGCAGAAGGGTCTTCTCGCTTGGCTTGCAGTTCACAGTTAAATTTAGAAACATTTTCGGGGGCAAATGTAGCATGAAGGAAGGGGTTATGAGTAGGGGCTGGCTGCTGGGGCTGCCCCTAATGGGCTCATTAGACAGGGACGGCGACAGTCAAAGGTGCTGCTCGTAAATCGTTGCGAGCGCCGCATTATGTTTGACACTCCACTAAGCTGGAAGATTGCGGCGTGATTATCGCCTTAGCCGTGACTCCACTCGGCCACCCAGCCCCCGGTTTTCCGGGGCGGTGCTGTGGATGCAACCTTGGATGACTCCGTGATAGTATGCGCCATACGGTCGTAAATTTAATGGCCTCACTCGCATTTTCCATCAACATAAATTTCCGTATTGTGTCATTTTCAATTTGCTGCAACGCGTCTCATAACTCATTACTTGCCACCTCTGGGGCAGTCACACTCTTGACTTTAGAAATATATATATACAGGAAATTGGAGAACATTAAGACATTAGGAGTTTAAACTCAGTAACATTAGGATCATTTGGGACAGTCCTTTATTGAAATGATGTTCCCCTCGTAAGATTATTAAATATTTTCTGCAAATTTCCCCAACTTTGTTTATACTATTTGTAGGATATACGCTGTGTATATTCTATTTAAAATATACTCTGGAAGTTGCAATTTTGGAATTAATTTTGATATGTAGAGATTATTTGGGCATTGCCACATCGGTACCCAAATAATGCAGAAATTTTATATCTTTATGGATGTGTCTAACCCCACTAACATCTGTGTCTCTCTCTCTCTCTTTCTCATGCTTTCAGTTCAATCAGGATTTGTACTCCTCGTCGGGCGTTAATTTGGCCGCCTCATCGAGTGCCTCTGGCAGCTCCCACTCACCCTGCAGTCCCATTCTGCCGCCCTCGGTGAGCGCCAATGCAGCTGCAGCGGCGGTTGCGGCCGCGGCGCACAATAGTGCGGCAGCGGCTGTTGCCGTGGCAGCGAATCAGGCGGGCACCTCCGGATTGCAGCTGGGCGGTGGAGTTGGTGGCTCTGGCGGTGGTTTGCTGGGTAGCAACGTGCCCGGTAGCAGTAGTGTTGGTAGCATCGGACTTGGCATGAGTCCGGGTCTGAGTGGTGCTGCCGGACACTCGTTGCACAGTCGGACGCACACGCATTCGCATCCACATTCGCATCCGCATCCGCATCCGCACCCGCAGACCCACACACACTCACACCCGCACACGCATACGCATACGCATCAAACCAAAGAAGAGGATCTCAACGTGCCACGCAGCGAAGCTGAAGGTGAGTAAGCTCGGAAACCAATATCAAATAATTTGAAAATATAATAGGAAAATAATGAGTAGAGCCCTGCAATGAACTACAGAAGCACATACTCATAGTTCTTTAGATATATTTCACGCTCTAGCCAATCTCTCCCTCTTTCTTGTCTGCCGGAAATTTCGGATTTCAATATCTAACGAGCCTGCCATTTAGTTTCTATCTCAAGATCATTGGGAAAACGGATTTGCTTTCCTTTCTTAACTTATTACATTAGAATCCGGGAAAGTTCAGGCCCAAAAGTGGTTCGGCATTCATAGCTAGATATCGACAGCATTTTATTTTGGCAACGTCATTCATAGACAGAGAGAGAGAGAGAGAGAAAGTGAGCATGAGTGGATACCAGTGCACACTCGCCGCTAATTAAATTAAAAATTCTTTGAATTGCTGTCGCGCACTCACATTCCAAACCAGTTAACATTCAATAAATGATATCATATTTTTTATATCACCCCCCTCCATAATCCATTGGTCGTAATGATTGTAAAGTATTTCACCGATTTCGGTTTTCAGCACGCTTGGTGGGCTCCCAACAGCACCAGCATCACAACGAATCATCCTGCTCCTCCGGCCCGGACTCGCCGCGCCACGTGCACGCGCACAGCCACTCGCTGCACGGCGGCGGTGCGCCAGTGGGTGCATCATCGACGGGCGGGACGGCCACGGGCGCCATACCCAAGGATCTGCCGACCCTGGATGCTCCACAGCCGGTCGGCGGCAATAGCCAGGGGCAAGCTCAGTATCTGTCGGCCACCTGCGTTGTATTCACCAACTACTCGGGCGACACGGCCAGCGTGGTCGATGAGCATTTCTCCCGCGCCCTCAACTACAACAACAAGGACACTAAAGGTAGGAGCACGAAGCATCCATCTCTCCCAACTCTCACTCCCCCCAACTCCGGTCTGAGTGGGGAGCCAGCCAGTAGCACTGCTTTGATCAAAAGACCCGCTCGTGTCATGTACTTGTCTCGGCTGTCAGTTTGCGTGTTTGCCCCGATTTTCCGTATGTGAGTGGCGGCCGTGCCTCACTTGCTCCCCCAATGGGGGCACTCGTGTATAATTAGGTGAAAAACACAGCAGCCGCAGCAAAAATGGAGAAAAAGTTCAGCTAAGTTATTAAAATGTTCGCGGGAAATTTACGGCGGGCAAATTATGCCACTGGAATGTGGGAGGTAGGGCATAAAAACACAGAGGCGTGCGATTTAATCAGCCCACACAAGTGCTCTCTCGCTAATGTCAACTAACTGCGCTTTGCTCTCATCATCATCATCATCAACCACAAGTGTTCTACCGTAAAACAAGCGTTGAGTGACATTTCATTTAAAAATATTATACTATTACCGAGGGCAGTATCTACAAATAAAAAGAGAAAATTAGAAATGCAAAAATGTGATAGTTGTGATGGAGAATATATTGAGGGGAATTTTTTAGCTTTTTGTTCTCTGCATTGTGCTCTGCTCTCATCTACTAGCTATTAAGCTACCGTATAACAAGCTTTGAGCGGTTCAACATAAATTCGTACAGTAATATTGCATTAAACTGCTGGAGTAGTAAAATTCGCGGTAGAGATGGTAAAGTTTGTTTTATTCATTAAATGTAAGGCATGTAAAATAATTGGAAAGGGTTTTGAAATTTAATGTACTGGGTAACAGGTCTGCTCTCTTCTAACCACTGTGTCATTCGCTCTCAATGCAACTGCTAATGCGAGAAGTGGCCTACGATATAACAACATTTTCTTGATGCTCAGGCGAGCTTGATAAGTGGCCTGAGGGACTTGCTATGTTAGGTTAAATGAGTGAATTTTGTGTTGAATTTGATTAAAAACTCATACGCTCTTCCTATTTCCATCCATCTTTTTCCTGCGAAAACTATTTTAAATATTTGAATTTATGCTGGCATACGCATACTTGGATAAAAGCAAAACAGAAACACTTTAAGAATCCACTCACTTGTACAGGCGGCGTTGTCCCCTACTCGGGATGTCTGTGAATGTGAATAAGCAGCACCCAAACCAGGCGCACAATAAAACATATAAATCAAGTTGCCACTTGCCACTCGCTTGTTCTTTCGATTTCAAAATTAATTACCTCCTTTAATGAAGATAAACGTTTCGTTTGTTCATGCCTGTCTGTTTTGCCTGTCCGTCTATCTTATAAATACGATGCATATACATATGCTACACGTACATACACACACATACATGTGTACATACATTGTATGTCTCCTCTCTGGTTTTGCCTGTCGGCTTGTTTTTTTTTTTATTTTTAATATGTGCTTCTGTTTTCCTTTAATGCAATTTCCTTGAGGCAGATGTCAGTTGCAAAGAGAAGTTTCCTTATGATGATCGTCTTCGTTTTAAAACTCAAATTGTACTCGTTTTTGGAAACATATATCTTGTGTGCTAATTTAATTCCAAAGCTCAATCAATCAATTATCTTCGCATTTGAATGCCGAGCAGGTGTCGGCAGTCTCTATGCTAATGTTCTGTACGTGTTTCACCCACTTAACTGTATTTCACCATCTCTTTACCGTTTCTCCATTCCTCCCCACCACACCGATTCGAACAGTTTGCGGCGTATTCCTTCGCCCACCGCCAATTGCACTTAAACCTGGGATTTTATTGACTTTCTTGTGGCCGCCATGCCAACCCACCACCTCTTCAACTTCCACTTTGATTGTGCAAATTTCAGTTTCCATTCAATTACCGTTTAGTTTGCGATAATTGGACAATTTCTCGTGCGTTTTTGTCTGCTAATGGGTAGCGGTAAATGAGTTTTCGTCATTACCAAATTTAAATCAAATCCAGAGAATTTAATGCGTCAATAAAAATATACAAGAAGGATGGGTTTTTGTGTTTAAATAATGTTTGAAGTATAAATGAGAATTTAAGAATTAATTTGTGCCATTTGTGAACCCTGTACCCATGATCTGGGTAATCGAAAAAGGGTTCCATTGTAGCTTTAGGCTACATATAATCGATATTTTTAATCGCTGGCCATTTTGAATACCGTTCTGTAGGAATATCCGTAAATTCTTCCCGCAACAGCGCTGTGTGTGTGTGTGTGTGTGAGTGTGTCTCTGCCTCTGCATAGTGGCACACATTGCCGATTATAGACGGTCCCTTAAATAAAATTCAATTTGTTAAATATACAACGATACGAGTATGCATAGAAAAAATGTTGTTTACTTTTTGCGCTGATTTCACTTTTGCTTTTGTTTTTATTTCTGTGGATTTGAGTAGGTATATTTGTTTAGTGCTTTCTGTCGAGTTGAGGCTGCTTAATGGTATTTAAAGTTCATTTTGGTCATTTGTCTATTTGGGCACACACGCACACCGATGGCCATTTGCATTTGTACTTTTGAAACTATTCAGCATTTCATATAGATTTTTTTTATCGCAATGTGCCCGCTGCTATATATACATATATATGCATATATATACAGATATGTATGTATGTATCTGTTTGGAATGTGCTATGAAATGTCGCCGGAATGCGATGCGGTCGATGTTGGCTGCTGCTGCTGTTGGTGCTGCGGTTCGTCTGGCGGTGGCAATGCCGAATGCCGCATAGATTCCTCATTACGATTTTAAAATGCATTTCAATTAACTGCTCCGCACACACCCTCCTGCCCCACTCGGCACACCACACGAACGGGTGCCAAAGAGAGAGAGATAAAGAGAGAGAGACAGGGACAGAGTCAACGACAGAGATGAGAGGAGATAGTCAGACTGAGTGGCACGCTTGCACTTTTCTCTGCCCTCTCTCTGCTCTGCTCTGGCTTTGTTTTCGTTTTCGTATCGCTCTTCAAAAATACTCGATTCATCTGCTCCCTTTCGGGGCTGTTTGGACTGTGGCTGTGCTGTGCTGTGCTACGAGGAGTATTTAATTAGATGCCTCAAGAATTCGATTTAAAATTCCTTGGCACCCGCTGCAGCAGGAGAACCAGAACCAGAAAAAGACCCAAAAGCAGCCGCAGAAGCAGAACAGAAACAGAACAGATACAGAACAGATACAGAAACAGAAACCGATACAGAAACAGAAACAGAGACCCAAAGACCGTGTTGAGGTCACACAGCTATTTCCATTTGGCTGTCTTCTAGGACAATCTTTTCCTTTCTTTCCATCTCTCTAGCCGTCTCTGTCTGTTCATCGTTGGCGATCGGACCTTATCGGGCCATAAATTGCTGGCCATGTCGCTGCCGGTGACTTCATTAGGATAAAGGTGAAAGGTGAGAGAGTCAGCAAGGCAGCGGCTTTCGCTTTTGATGATGAAAGTGAAATGCCAACGGCGAGTGTGGAAAGCCGGCAAAAGATTCACCAAAAACTGTGGACTGAGACAGAGACTAAGACTGAGGCAGATATAGCTGAAATATCTTTAGCAGTTTGCTTGTTTGCACATTAATGGGAATTCCTCGGTTTCAGCTGAGCGAGTGAGTGAATGGCAACAGCGATGTGCGGCTGATGACGACTTCTGGCAAGGGAGTCACAAAACGGTGGCAGGAGCTGAGGCACGCGGCATCCAGCCGCATCATCAGCATGCATGGCACACTCACAGACGTGCCGGCCAGAGTTGTCGACTCGCGACGGCATCGATGCACAAACATTACACATCCACATCCACATCCAACATCCTTCAGTGCAGGCACAATCCACAGCTCTGCCAGCCTCCACTCCACTACACTCCACTCCACAGCACAGCACTCGATTCCTCCTCCAGTTGTTGTATATTTTTCTCTCGAATTGAGTTTGGAATGTTGTCAACGCAAATGCGCCTATGCAAGTTTTTGGTATCAGGCTCCCTCGGATTCTCCTCAATTGCAGTCCTTGCCGCTACTCCGCTACCCTCCACGGCTGCTATTTTGGGCCTGGGGCCCTGGGACCATAGGGAGCTCCATTACACATAATGGAGATGTCTTTCTTTTGCCAGTGCCTGGCTTTTGCTGCTGCTGCTGCTGCTGCTGCTGGGGCTACGGCTGCTGGCGTCGTGCGATTTCATAAACGCGTAGATTTACAACCATTTAATACAAGTGATGATCCTGAACAACAACGCGACAACGACAACGAACGACAACCGAAAACATTCCGCTCAGTTATTTGCAACAAGCCGTGGCGCCGTCGTTGAGGCGCGGAAGCTGCCAACCAATCCCGGAATCCCCCCAAGACTTGCCTTGGGCCTGGGATGCTGCCACTTCTTTTGTCGCACTTTGCCAGTTAATCATTCCGGCAAGTGAATGGAAATTGCCCCAAGAGGACACCACTTGAAGGTCTAGTGGAAACAGGTTTTAGATATTTGAATCTTGCAAATAGCACACGAAATGCTGGGGCCATACTCCATAACTAAGGACTACTTGGAGATATTTCCATCAGACCTAATTAAAATTTAATCATAATAATAACAAAAAAAAAGAGAGAATTCTCTTTTTAGCTGAAATTAGCATAGAGGACTCGCCAGAGGACTCTTATACTAGTTCTGAAGATATATATTTGCTTATCGAATACATCTGAGGTCTAAGATATGTTAAACAACAGCTTTAGTCTACAAAACTGCAATACATATTTGTCCCTCGTTTCGTGTCTTACAGAAAGCCAGAGCCCCATGTCGACTCGCAACTTCCCACCATCGTTCTGGAACAGCAATTACGTGCACCCCATACCCGCGCCCACACATCCTCAGGTAAGCTCCCGAACAATGATAGACCCAGGTCCAAGCCGAAGCCGAAGCTGAAGCCAAAGCCGAAACCGATTAACTGCAATACGTGATGCAATTACAGCTTCAAGGGCTTCGGGCCGAACCCTTGGCTGCTCTGCTCTGCTGCATTGTCTCTAAATAAGTTGTAATTCGATCTCGAATCTCCCATCTCCTCTGCTCCCTATTTCCCTGCCATAGGTGACCGACTTGTATGGCTCGGCGACGGACACTGGCTATGCCACAGATCCATGGGTGCCGCATGCAGCGGCAGCCCACTACGGTTCCTATGCCCATGCGGCGCATGCGCACGCAGCCCACGCACACGCCTACCACCACAATATGGCCCAATACGGTAGCCTGCTCAGGCTGCCCCAACAGTACGCGAGCCACGGTTCAAGGTGCGACCCCTCATCGATGCGGCTGTTGGAACTGCGACTAACTTTCTGTCTTGATCTTCTTTTTAAACTCTTTGCAGACTCCACCACGACCAGCCAACGGCCCATGCCCTCGAGTACTCGAGCTATCCCACAATGGCAGGTGAGTGGTTCGATTGGGGATGCGCCTCGACCAAGTACTGTAATTCCTTTCACTCTCTACAGGTCTGGAGGCTCAAGTGCAGGAAACGTCGAAGGATCTTTATTGGTTCTAGGTGGACCGCAGAATCGCCAGCAAATGTATAAACTCCGATGGAAAGAAACCAACTCTCAAGAGTCCTTAAGATCGGGGGGGGAGGATAGCCAGACTATCACTTCTCGGCTTGTCGAATCGCTTCTTAAGCAACCTGTGCAGTCTGTGTTTCTGTGTGAGCAAAACAATACAACAGGTTATCGAAATTTAATTTAATTTAATCTTACCATAATGTTTAACGTTTAAATATAATTCGTACATTTTACACACACACCCAAACACACATACACCAACAAATTGTAAACAATTTTTCGCGCATTAAGCATAGGGTTTTCAGAGTAATTTGGTTTTGTAAGTTTAGCATCCCATATCAGCAAGTTAGAACATACATACATATATATAGATACATACAGTATATAAATATATAATGCATATACACTCTATACATACATAAATAAATTTACAAAATACATATACATACATACATATACATATACTATATATACGGGTGCATTGGCACTCGAAGCCTGCGTTGATAACATTTAATAATCGACATTTCTTGTATAGTTAACGCGAACTTTCAAATACACTTAAAGCCACAAAACAAAGTTAGAGTTTATTTTTGTTTAAAACTACAATTTTTTGCAAATTTCAACAAATTAGGTTAACGAAATTCAAATTGAAAACAAACAAAAGAACAAAGCAAAAAATGCAATAGGAAAGAGATAATAAATGAATAAATAAAATCAAAACAAAATTTGAATACAATCATGGAATAAAGTTTGTTTCAATTGTTGAATGCCCTGGTTATTGTTTATTTTTGGATTGGTGGGGGGTAAGTATCGATTGGATTTCACTCAATGGAATCTTTATAGCCCAAAAATCAGGGCTATTAGACACCACACCACTGCCATCCCACCCAGGCATCTCATATTTGTTGGGTAATGATTTCATTCTGATTAACCCACGAACTCAAATCAGATAAGAATCATAAAAAGAACACTAATTTTCATAATCGTCGAATGTGAATGCTTTCCACGCCATTTAGTCAGGCGCCTTATTAATCTTGGGCTATTTATCATCCGAACAGAAGGAGAGGAAAGGAGAGGGCCCCCGCCGAACCCAACCCCAACCCCAAAAAGAAACAACGAAAATCCCAAAAGGAATCTTGCATAATTAATGAAAGCACAAATCTGAGATATTGGCCAAGTGGTGGCACAAGTCATAAATAAGCGGCTACTCCGGCTGGCACTGCCACTGCCACTGCAACCGTGACTGGGAACGGTGACTGCTATCCAATCCCCCAACCGGATGGACAGGATTGTGGGCTGTCTTCTTTCATTTCTTTTTCGCTATTACGAGTAAATGTACAATGAAAGTTGAAAGAGACGGAGACAGGCACAGAGGGGAGACGACATATTATTGACTTTCAATGACTTATCGCACAGTTGGCCAACGCTCACACACTCATCGCCCTGCACCGCACTGCACCGTACTGCACCGCACCTAACTCATTCACTCACTCGATGAACCATGGAACAGTTGGTCCAGTCGAAAGCAAACGGATCCCCGATCCTGCTCATGAATTAAAGAAATAAAACAAACGCGCGACATGCTCCCGCTCCATACTTTTTGTACCCACTGTCGCGGCCCGCTCCTCTGTGGCTCTGTGTACGCAACAAATTTATTACTGATCGATGAACCACCAACTCTTGCTCGGTGGCTGCATTGGCAGATCGGAGAACGGGAACAGAAGCCGGTTGGTGGGTCCATTATTTTAGCATAAGAATTCCATAATTCCGAGACGGGGGCCACAACAGAGCAGAGAGGAGTACAGGATCGGCTGTCGGCTGTCGGGGGTCGGCGGAGTTAGACCTCTCTTCAAGGTGTTCAACAATTCGCCAAATGCGTTTTGCTCTGGGTTTATCGCTTTTTAATAACTTCCCTCTGAGTTTTTCAATTCACTTTTTTGCTCTCCCTCAGCCGCTCTCTTTTTGTTTACCCTTTTTGTTGTCACTCAAGTTTCATTTTGGGACAGATGGTTCCGTTTTTGGCGGCTCTACTTCCTTCCTGCCTTCTACACATTGGCGAACGAGTGGACAGTGGCCAAAAGCCATCTCAAGCGGTTGTATTTGTTGTGGCTGTTTATTGTGGCATTGTGTGCTAATGAGTTGTACTCGTATTCGTGGTTCACGGTTGAGTGGAGTCGGAATGGGAATGGAGGGGACGGGCGGAGCCCAGGCGTCCTTTATAGGAACAGTTTCACTTGACATCGGCAATATCAACAAAGGCTTCTACAAGCTCTAACTACATATGTCTTTGGGAATATTCTAAAAATTATAATTCGATAAGAAAATGGAAGGCAAAAATATGTTTAATAATATATATTCAAATTATAATTCAGCTAGCCCCAAGTGTTGGAATATTATTGTTTTTTTTATGGTTTGATAAGAGGAATCCAATCCCCAAATACACATTACAAAAAAAGCTACCCCAACAATTACATGCTGAGGATATTTTCTTTAAGCATCCTATTTGAAGTGGAACTCATACCGATTCGACCGTTGAATTTATTGGGTTAGCTCTGTCGTCACCTATGTCCCTTTGGCCAGACCTTAGCAGTTCTTCCGCTAATATATGGATCTGCCTCTTCAACTTCCCTGGATCTCCCTCTGGCCATTCGACCGAGTGTCAACGAAGCTGTTTGCCACATTAAATGGAAATTAATTTTACCCCAGATAAACAAGAATGCGGGGGAAACAGATTTTCCAATTTGGTATTCGGTTAAATTATGTTAACAAAGCGCGAGGAACCGAAGTTGGATAATAAATAAGATGGAAAAACAATAATAAAAGTCACAAGACGGAGTGTGGCACGTGGATATTTTTGGAGCATTAGCCGGAGGAGTGCAGGGTGACTTCTAGGGGAACTTTGACTTGACTCGACGACACTTTATGACCAACGAATGTTCGTGCCTTACGACTGGCCGCAAAATATAAATAAATAAATTTTCCCATAGTCTGTGGGGACGGCGCACCCAAGACGGAGAATGGATCGATGGATGGATGGATGCAACTCGAATGCATCTCGTAAATTTGATCAAACTCTATTGGCTGCTAATTGGATGCTGAATTTGGGGGGAATCGGTGCAGGAACAGATATTGGTTAGACCGCATGAGAGCATCACCACAGATACAGATACAGATATGTACGAGTAGCAGAAATCAATTTTTATAATTAACGTTGAATTAACACATTTCAAGCATATGTTGGGCCGCCGTTCTGGTCCCGTCCTTCCATTTATCCCCACATGCGGCGTTGATTACGGCAGTCCTACTGTTCGATGGCTCCATGTGGTTCGGTGGCTCCTGCGATTGCGCAGACAATCAGCAGCGTTAAAAAATCCATACATCATTTTCCTGCACCGCAATCGCAATCCGAATCCCAATCCCTCTGTCCCCTGCCTTCATTTCGGGTTCATTTTGTGCTGCCTGCGGTTGCATGTGCATCTGGTTGGTTTCCTTTCCACTTTCCACTCTACGGCTCTTTTCGGTTGGATCGGGATGTGGCTGTTTTGGATGCTGGTAGGTTGGTCCGGTCATGTCGGGGCCACATTTGGAGTGGCGTTTATGTGTGATTTATTCGTCTGTGGCAGGCAGCCTCATCATCATCATCATCGTCTGCGTCTGCGTATGTGTCCTGGGTCCCTGGGTCCATGGGTCCCTAGCGGTGCCTGTGTGGCAAGGTGACATTTCCTGTATCGGTGACAAAGGCAACGCCAAATGCTTCATTGATATTCTAATTAATGTGTGTAAATATCTGGTTACCCCTACCCCACACAGCACTGTTTTCCCATCCACCACTAAGGCATTTTCTAATTTACACGTTAAACGAAATAAAATAGAAAATTATGAAACAAAATTTTGCATATAAAGAAAATGACTCAAAGCGAGAATTTCAAGTCATTTCCCCGCTCCATTTCCCATCTCAAGATAAAGGAGCAGCTATACCTGGGCAAACTTTTGAAATTCAGACCGCGTTAAAATACTTTTCCTCGCTTACCGTTGCCTCCCTCCATTGTGTGCTTTTCATTTTTGCTTTCCCTTCAACAATGGCGCCAGCCCCAAGGACTACGGAGCACACTTTTTCCATGATTCCTTTTCAAAGGCCCCTTCTGTCTGTCTGTCTGTCTCTCTGTCTGTTTCTGTGGGGGGGTGTGTGTGTGTGTGTGCGGATGTGCCTATTGGAGTACATTTTCCAGTGCCAGAGCCAAGATGTCGGGTTGATTTTATCCCCCCCACTGACAGTCATAGTCACAGGCCAAGTCCCAGGGCTGAGTTGCCAAGACTCTTCCATTCCACCTTTCCCCCAATGGCCGCACAATAAACTTAATCTGCTCATAATGGGAAAATAATTCACAAAAATGTTCAGCTCCAAGTTTGTAGCTGCATTTGCACTTGCCTTTCCCCAGTCCCAGTCCCAGCCCCTGGTAGCCAAGACTCTGCCTACGGTAGTCTTCCCTGGCTCCGGTTCCGGTTCTGGGCCTTTAAACAGCAATTAGATGGGGCGCAAGTCGAAGACAAAGCAGACCCTGGATGAGGTTTCTGTGGCATAAAGGGGGACCAGAAAAAAGCACCAGGAAAGTTTATTAGTTTGACCTGGCAAAGGATGCTGGCTGGGTCCGGGTTAGGCCTCTCTACTCCATTGGATCCCAGCCTCGAAAGGAGGCTAAAGAAGGCATAACCGAAAGTAAACTGTATTAGGAATATTCCGCGCAATCAGATCTAATTTGTGCAGGGCAACTTCTGGTCGGAAGTTGGTTAAGTTTTTTGGGTTAGTGAATGTAACGTGGCGTGAACTTAGTTAAGAGCATTTTCCAGTATATATTCAATTATTTAGCTAGACAGACAGAAAGACAGACACGGTAATGTGGAAATGGAGTTGGTTGGTTACACGGCTGCTTAAACCCTATCGACTTTCGTATGCTCGATCTATAACACACATGAAGGATCTTCTTTTCATGACAGATAAATAACAGCCGTTTTAACAGTCCGTAAGTGACTATGTCCATATGTAAATATATAATCAGATAACATACATGCATGGACAAAATATGAACAAATTTACTGGGGTTTTTGAATAGTTTTGTCTGAATTTTTTATACTTGATTATACTTGATTTAATTATAATTAAAAGCCCCTACAGATTCAGACACAATCCATTTCCAGATTTTTCATTGATAAATTATTATTGGTTATCTCTCTCTCTCTCTCGCGGCACTGTTTCATTAACAAATTGTGTGAAATTATTGCAAATATACCGAAAGAATGCAACTTATTGCCGGATACGACCATCAACGTTCCAATGAGCGGTGTGTTCGGAGGGGTGTAAAAAGGATATGAAATATGTGTTAAAAAAGAAGAAGCAGAGAGGAGAAAATTCTACGAAATTGAGTTAATTAAAAGGGATTCCCACAGTGCACCGCCCACACGGAATTGCGGTATACAAAAAAAAAATGCAGAACAGAATACAGAGACAGACACAAACACAAACAGAGATGGATATAAAATATTTGGTTAATAATGAAACACGCACTGACATGCACAAATATGCACGCACAAATATACATATATACATATGTACCCACACATATGTATGTACATAAATGCAACATATGCAGTTCATAATGGAAAATGGCCAATGCAATGCAGGGCAAAAGCGCATAAAAATTGTTGAAATTGTTGAAAGTTGCTGAAAAAATACAATATTGTTTGTATGAAGATATGTACATATGTATGTATGTATGTATGTATGTATGTATTTATGTATGGTTTGCATGACACGGCTCTACGGCTCTTGGGCTTTAAAATGCATCCAAGTGCAAGTGCCGCAAATGCAGTGCACTTCGTTGAATCGATTTCAATGCCGTGATACGCAACGGGTGAGTGGAACGGTAATGGCTGCCCTCCGCCCACCCAAATATTCCACTCGATCCACCCCACCCCACCACTCCTTGTACACCATTACCCTCGAACACACAATTGCAACATTTTGGCAAAACTTTTGCTGCGAAAGAAGCAAACTTTACGGTTGTCCAGCCCTCCTACTTCCACTCCCACTCCCACTCACACTCCCACTCCCGCTCCCGCTGCCTACCAACCATCCGTAGCCTTGCAGTGGGCCTGCGTTGGAGCGAGACGACTGTAGTGTACTTCAAACTGCTGGCGTGATATATATGTATATTCGCATCGCAAACACAATTCATTTCGTGCAGCATATTGGCCTGGATGGTGAGTGTGATGGAGAGGGAGAGGCAGCGGCAGAGGAGGGGGAGGTTGAGAGGACAGAGCGAAAGAGAGGCGCAGAGCCTTATTGCCATCAGATAAGAGCAAGTAAAAAGCAACAACACAGTGCCTCGCCTCGCTCAAGTCTCCGCCCCAAAAGGCAAAGAGGTTGAACCCCGTTGTGTCTGTGGCTGTGTCTGTGTCTGTGTCTCTGCCTGTGTTTGAAACCGGTTTGATGCCGCAGTGTGCGTATACCGTACACCTAGTGTGTGGTTGTGTGTGTGTGTGTGTGCTAGCAGTGGCTGTGTGCTGTGGCAGACATCTTTCCAAGGGTTGGACCCGGCCGAAAGGACTCGACTACGAATGCTGCAGGAGAGCGCCAGCGCCTGACCTTAACACGAACAAAATTGGCCAAAAATGTGCGTGAACGGGCACTCTGTGGAGTACTCCTGTGCGAAAGGGGCGTAATTAAATTTTGGGTAGGCTTTGGCGTGGGCGGGCGGTAATGGTGGCTTAGCATGCAACCGCCAGGTGGAGGAAGGCCTGAAGGTGCTCCCTCTCTCTCTCTCTCTCTCTTAATTGCCGCATACAAAATACTTTCCCCAACTATGCAATGCTGTCATAATTCTTCCATCTACCACACACCCAAAAAATGACAAAAAAAAAAAGTGAAACACACACACACACGTACGGGGGGTGTACGTGTATGAAATATGCGCACTGTTATTGCTAATACGCATTCCAGCTGCAGTTTTAGCCACTGGCTCCCGATCCACAGTCAGGGCTCGGCTCGGCTCGGCTCCATCATCCACTCTCCACTTCACTCGACTCCACTCACAATGGAATGGAATGCCACTGTCGCTGCCGGCATGTCAAAGTGAATAACTCAATAGCCATATTGGGTGTCCACCTGTGTGTGTCAGTTAGAGGGTACAACACACTCTTTATGTGTGTGGTGTGTGCTGCTGTGGCAACTCCATCCATCAGGAAGAGGCAGTGATAGAGTCAGAGTCATACTCCGAGATAGAGTCAGAGCTAGAGTCAGAGCTAAAGCCAGTACTAGCTGCCATACAATTCCACGTAAATCCTGCATAGAAGCACTTACATGACTTTGCTCCGACTTACACTCACACAAATGGCCGTTAAAATTCTTGACAACCCGATATGGTAATGATAATTTCGCACATTGAGCCGCAATTTACACTTCTGCGGAATAGGACAAAAGCAAACCAAAGCTAAACTAAACTGAACTGAGCTGAGCTGAGCTGCGACTAGCGCAGAGGAGGCAACTGGCAATCCACCACAGCCAACGATATGGTATGGCCATTTACAGCACTGCCAATATATCCTAACCTGATCACAATCCCACCCAACTGGTTAGCCATCCGGGGAATGCATTGGGGACACGCGCAGCGAATAATCTTTAATTAGCAATGACCACGGAACAGAAACCAGAAAACAGAAATAAGAAACAAAACAGAAACAGAAACAAAACACGGCAACGATTCGAATCCGAGCAAATATGCAAAATATTATGACACACACGGCGAGAGGGCGCTCTTTGGAGGGCACTCGAAAAACGCATTTAAAATACCTCTGCCTCTAAGAACCTGACTCCAAGACCAACACGAAGACCAAGACCAAGACCCCGTCTGTGAATACTGGATACTCGTACGCGTATGTTGCGCAGGTCAGTAGCAATTAAGATAAGCCGTTTACAAGTGTGCCGATTATGTCCTGTCAATGTGTCGTCGATAAGTCGTGCGGCGCCCCGGTGGCCTGCTAAATCAGCATCAGGAGCAGTTCCAGAGGGAGGCATGGAGGATGGCGCACTCAAGCGACGGACAGCAGTAGCCGTTTCGGCCCCTGATAACGATGGATGGATGACTGGAACTGCGGACTGGGTCTCTGGATGCGCCTCTAGCTAAATGGAACACTGTCCGCCGGGTGTATGGGTATGGGTATGGGTATGAATCCTCCTCATTCCATATGCATAATGCATTCATTTGACAGCTCGGGTCGAGGCGAAGCGACGCGACCACCGATCGGTGGATCAGCATCTGGTTGGACGGCTTCTAATGCCTCTTTCAAATGTGCCGCACTTCCTCTGGACTCTACTCGCTCCACTATGCTCTTCTCCTGCTCCTGCTCCTTCGCTATTAATTAGAATGTATGGCCGTTGCTTCTGTGCCGCTGACTACCTCCTGCCCCCCTGCCCACTTCTCCATTCCCGTTCATTTTTGGCATTTCAGAGTTAACGGCACGCGACATTTTAAATATGTATGTATGTATGATGCCCTCCATCCATCGCCCTGGACTGCTCCGCTCCTGTTTGGGGTTCTCTTCTCGGACTGCGTGAGTAATTTCGGTGGCATTCCACAAATATTATTGCTCAAATATTTGAAACTTGATTTGCATTTTTCAGCACTCGCCTCGTTTGCACCAGCGCAGAGGACGACTCCACCACGACTCGACTCCCCTGGAGCAGCTGTTGAAATTGATGCCTGGCCCAGGCGTTCGGCATTTGTGTCGAATATGCAGCACGGACGGGGAATGGGCTGCGGATGCGGATGCGGATACTCGAGTAGTCCTGGGCATGAACCAAGATAATGAACACTATAGCTGGACTGCAGACGAATCTGGGATACTCTAGCATATCCAAACTAATGGGGGTTGAAATTTCAATAAAACTGTGGCTACGATTTATCACAACTAATAGAAACACATGCGAGATACTACATACACAACAGAACCGATTACAGATTGAAACCTTTACAGCAGTATCTTTTTTTTGTTCTATCATTGTACTCAAAAAGTACAGGAGTTTCCCTCGAGGTGGGCTTTCCATGACTTTCGAATTATATTCCGACAATGGAATGTGATGCTTACTATCGATCTACATAAATGCCACCAATTGGTAAAGTGAGGCAATAGCGAGGATCTTGGCTGTGTTCCTTCGAATCCAACTATACTATTAATATATATCTACTATTAACATACCTAAAATATGTGTCGTTCACCTCCAAAACTTATTTTGTGTGTGCTTTTCGATTAAAATTGGTAGGAAAAAGCAGAAAATTCGCACACGAAAACAGCTAATCGTAGAAACAATAAAACGATTAAAAAATTACAATATTCATTGATTTTTGATTTTTTTATTATATATATTTTGTAATTGCTTGTGGGACTCTGAATGTATCGACAAAATGGAAACGTCAAGGAAAGAAATGTACTGTATGCATCAAGGACTTATCCTTACCGGTGCAAAAGGTAAGAGAAATAATTTTTAATTTCTCTTCTTATATTCGTTATTTAGATGAATTTAATTATCGATTGTTATCCCTCCTTTCGACCTTTGGCTGTTAGATAACCTGAACAAAGCGCCCTTCATCCTTTAAAAGAGTCCTGGGAGGAATGTAAGAGTTCGTGCAACTCCAGCACTGCACTGTCCGTATTCACTTTTTTTTACGCTGGCCTTTTGTGTGTGACGGCTAAATCAATTTACTATCGATAAACCCATTTGAGGCATTCCTCCCGCTTCAATGGTTTTTTCTACATACCTCCGAAGGTCACATACCAGAACCAAGAGCCGGGCAGAAGTTTCAATGGGCCACAATGGGCCACAAATGAAATGCATGAACAGAAAAAAAAAACAAAAATAGAGAAAAAGGTGCCAAAGGAGACACCGCCTTCAAATGGTTTGATGAACTGCCAGGACGAAGCGGGGGCATCGAATCCATGGAAACGTTGGTAATTTCTATCCTGGCTTATTACCCGGTCACATCCTGCCCCTCCCCTGCACCCAACGCTCGGGCGAGCGCCGCGTGCCACATCCGGACGTGGAAGTTATGAATAGCGGAGGCACAATCAGGCGGGCAACGAACCAGACGCCCACGAAGCAGCCAAGATGACGACGACAAATTGGAGTAATGAAAATGTTTTCGAAGTATTTACTTTGAGGTAATCGCGAATGGTTGGCTTCTGCGTTGTGCGGGATGAACGGGATGAGCGCACAGAAGTATGCTAGGCGCACGGCACGGCACGGCCTGCCCCTGCTACCGAAGCTACTGTTACACGACAAGTTTTCCACCGATGCGTCGCTTTTCCATCGGCAAAACAATAGCATTTTTATATTCACATTTTTTGAGGTATTTTAATCAGAAAACAGTCGAGCCCCGCACCAAAGACAAGTGGCAACGAATACGAATAGTGTGACAGTAAAATAGCGTCGGTGGTTTAAGTGCCATAATATTCCTAACCACTCTGCTGCCGCCCCTCCCTTCTCCCGTGCGTACCCACCCAAAAACCTCCTTATCTCCGGCAATGCCAAATGTTTCAATATGTTTTTATGTAAGTTCAAACAGCATGTTGAATGCCTTCAAATCGCTGATAAACAGAGGAAGAGCTGAGGTGTGCGGTGTGCGCGCAGGTGAGGAATGGGGCATGGGGCATGGCGTATGTGGCAGGGAGAGGTAGCTGGAACAACAAATGCTCGTACAATACAAAACGAGCCAGAGACGGAAGAGACAAACAAACCCCACGAAGACGACAACGAAGACGAGAAACGACGACGACGACGACGACGAATTTCGGTGTCTTTGAACAGCGCCTCGTCCCAAGGAGATGGAGTCATGGGAACCAACTTTTCACATTCCGTGCGTGCTTCTGTTTTGCAGTCTCTGCTTTGACTTTGATATTCGGTGCGTTTTTGCTAGCCTCCAGCCCCCCACCGAACCCTGGACACGGACCTGTTCATACCACCGCTGCCGCTCCTGCTCCCGCTACCGATCCCGATCCAGACCCGGCCAAAACCCAAGACCCAAGACATGCAGGCCGTTGGGGCGGCACAAAGACAAAGCCAGCGATGGACAATCTCTGGGAGCAGGCAAAACAGGACGAAATTTCTAAGACTCGATATCGAACACGATCCGCCGGGCCGGCAACTGCCGGCACCGAGCCGCACAGCACTGATAAGGCATTTGCCGCTCGCTGTTTGCCAACTCTAGCTTCTAGCTGGGTGTGTGGGGTGGGTTCCTGGGAAGCAGAAGTGCATCTGGGATAATCAAATTGTTGCTTTTCTAGTTTTTCCCAATTGCAGAACTGCAAATCGCGAAATTTCTTATCTCCTGCGGCGGCAAATGGCCAAACAGGCAAACGACTCCACTCCGATCTTCAGAATTAAATGGCCTCGTCTCTCTCTCTCTCTCTCAGTCCCCTGCCTGATTCCTGCTCCTCTGCTCCATGTGGCAGCTCGCTCTCGCCCCTCCTCTCTCCGTCGAAGATGATGAAGTCTTGCGGCAGTCGGCTCGACTGCAAAATGCTTTTAAGTCGTTTTTGTTACTCCTCTCCTGCTTCGATGCTGCTGCTGCTGTTGCTGCTGGTGCTGCTGCCTTGAAAACTTCTCAACTTGCAACTCGAATGCAGTTGTTAGCAGTTGTGTCCCTGCCTCTTTGCCTGCCTCACAGCCCACCCTTGCGACCCTTTTGGTGCGCTCCCAATCGAACGATCGAACGATGAAAGGAACGAGAACGAGTAGCAACCAAATTTGTTTCTTGACAACGACGGACGAGGGCCCGGCCCGGCCACAACTAAACGAAACATTCATATGACGCACGATCGATCCCAGACCCAATCCCAAGCTTGAGAAACGTTTTTTGCCCCTTCTCTGCGGGCAGCTGGGGAGGGGGGGGGAGGCTGGAGCGGTTGGGGGCAGAGCATAGCATGCCTCATGTGTACGCCGGGGCATGCAACTGCAAGATGGTGTTGTTGGTGTTGGTTTCTTGCTTTTGCGGCAAGTTGCAAAACGCTTTGGTTTTGACGTTGCGCATTTTTGATGATCAGTTTCGTCTATGGAAGGCAGGAGAAAAAGGAGCTGGAGAGAGATGGAAAATGCGAGAAAGGGAGAGTAGCTATATTTATCTATATTTATGATCTATATGCAAAATTAAAATCAATATAATATGTAGGACACAGAAAAGGGGCAAAAGGTGGATATTGAGATGAGCCTTTTGATTTTATTTGTGAAAATTATCCAGAAAGTGTAGAGAGAAATATAAAGGGATTTTTCCAACTTGGGAAGTTATCTAAAAATATTTTGTTTTGCTCATTCCAATATTAAAAGTGGAATGAGAACAGAAAGCGATGCTGGAACATCCCATCGGAATAATTAGTTTTTGCAAGACAGATAAAGACAGAGAAAATAAATCGCTCATAATTTAAACATCTTCGAGGCGTTGCTCAAAGTTCTCAAATACTCCAGAGACTATAAGTGGATGCTATATATAAATGAAAACCTATCTGGCATGCGGTATTGAATATCTTACCACTGATCTCTCCATCCCGGGCCTTGGACCACAGCCGCTCCAAGCAGCATAACTGGAATTGATCCGGAATAAAGTAATTTGTGGGTAATAATCGTAAAATTTGAAGATCTCCCAGCATTTTCAGCCGCAGATTGATGATCTATTTTCCTATACAACTCTATCAGGCCTCATCGGGGGGTACTGCGTCGGGAGTCGGCTGGCTGCCTTCGCATCGACAACCTTGGATCCCCATCATCCATTTTGTCAACGCCATTGCAGTTTTTTCTTTTTGCTTTTTGCCTCTCTTCCCTTTTTGCTTATCGAATGCCGCCATCTGTGCCATCATCAGCGTCATTGTCGTCTTGGGCCTGGTTCTTCTTGTATCGGTGGTGTGGAACGGGTGGGGGAGCTGGGGGCTGCAGCAGGAGCCGAGTGGATACAGCAACGTCAATGAGTAGATCAATCAAAAAAGCCGTCCGAAGACGAGGCCAACATTAAATGCCAGACAATAATGACCAATCGGAAGAATCTTAAATGCATCATCACGTTTACCTCAGTATCCGGTGTGGTTTTGCCGGAGAATTGCCGCTGTCTCTCTGCCCCTCTGCATCCTCCGCAGACGATAAGAAAAACAGAATTTCATTTCGCAAAGTTTCATGTTTGGCATTTCATTTCATTTCAATTCATTTCGTTTATTTTCCTGCCCTGCTGCTCCTCTGGCTCCTACTTTGGCTCCTCTGGAGCTCCACAAACTCTTGCATCTTCATATCTCACAGCCATTCCGCATTCCGTATTCAGCGAGGAATATCTTCTATTTGTTGGCAGAGGTAATTGGCCATTTCAACCATATCCATAACGAACCATCTATTTGGTGGTGCTCAATCAATGGAACTCGCGTATCGAACACACCAACGCACACACCACCCACCACCCACCATTCCCCGTCTCCGTCCACGAAACACACGGAATACTCTGGGAAGGGGCATAGTGCCAGTTGGAGTTTGTTTGGGTAAATTTAATTAAATTTCATTGCCGCCCATGAGCCCTGGTCCAGTTTTGTTCTGGCTCTGCTCTGCTCTGCTACCCTAACAGCGATGCCATGACGATTAGATTTTATTAAAAAGCCAAATATGCACAATTATTATGCTACGCCAACCACTTGACAGTCCATGAACCAGAGCCAGAGCCAGAGCCCGTGCCCGAGTGCGGCGTGGGGCGTGTGTGCCAGGCAAGGGGGTCGGTCTCCTGCTTCTTGCCCAGCTGGATCACAGCTCATCTAGGATGGGCAGCCACCACCACTGCAGTCATCACCCTCATCATCATCATCATCCTCCTCATCCTCATCATCATCATCATCCGGCCATTAACAGTAGCTCGGGGTCCTGTTGCCTGTCCTTTGCCCTGCTGTCTGCGGTGGTCCTTTCGTGCCTGGGCCCTCACCCTTCTCGGCCGCTCAACAAATTCGTTTATTTGCTTTTTAATAAAACAGGTGCTCGACCTTCAGCGTTCAAACGGTTCAAGTGGAAAGGGGGAACCTGTGTGGTGTGTTGTGGCATGGGGTGGGGTGGGATGGGCTGGGTCGGGCTGGGATGTGTGTGCCGGTGCGTGTGTCATTGCTATCTTTTATCATTTAATTTCGCATTCAAACGTTTCGCACCCCCCGGCATCAAAAGGATGCAATGAAAGGATCCACGAGCAGGGCACATGGCACAGCATACAAACAGGACAAAGCAGTCAAAGTCCTGGTCCGTTCCCTGCTCGGCAAAGTGCGTGCGGTCCCCCTGCCCACTGCCTGTGTTGTCATTTTTCATTTTGCGCACAACCGAAATTTGTATATGTCGAAAAGTCCAACAACATTCCAGGGGCAGGGAAGAGGCTGGCTGGCTGCCTCAATGCCGACGATGATCCGAATACGAATACGGATCCGGAACCGGCAATTAGGCCAAGCGGAAAGCGTGCTGAAACTATAGAAAAGGACAAGTCAGTCACTCACCGAGAGCGAGAGGGTGGTGAATGGCAGGCCCCACAGCCGCCTGCATGGCAATGGCTGTGTGCGCGTATTCCAAATCGTTTTGTGATTGCTGAAAGCTGTCTGCGGACTTTATTGGTTTTCCGAAACGAGATTTCATCTGCACTGCCAGAAAGTGGACTCCCTAGTGGGATAAACTGATTGAGTGGCGAGTGCCAGAGCGATGGCCCACGCCCTGAGAGTGCTACCAAAAGCCCTGATTAACTTTTGCAAGTGGGAAGTATACAGAAATTTGGGCATTTAAGAATTGAGTAGAATATAGATAGATACATATATCATATTCATACGATTTTATATTTATTTAAATTTATATAAAGTTCAGAATAAATTATTTTGGGGCTTGTAAAGTATTTCATGCGTATTATCTATAGAAATTATATGTATTTATATATATAAAAACAAAAATATGTATATCTGTATATAAAATATGATCTAGAATTTTTGTTCATTACTTTTGCACTTTACTATTTGCACACATATTCATATTCATAAGCTATAAAGAAATATGTTACATTATTATAATCACCTTCGTTACAAGCAATTTTAAGTATTTAAATTCTTTATTTTGTAATATTTATATTTCACTAAACGTTAAGTACTTTTCTTGCAGTGCATTCACATTGAATATTGTTTAAGAATTTTTGGACAATCATTTCTATTATCAAAAGTCATTGACACCCTTTTATTTATTTTTACATTTATTGTTTTTTCCCCTCTGATATCCTCGCCTCTGCCTCTTCCTTTGCCCTTGCCTTTGCCCTGATGTCCTTGCGATAATCGCTTACATGCCACTTGTCCTTGTGTGAGGGTGTTTGCCGTGCGGCCGGGTGGCTGTGAAGGGGAGGATGCTCTAGATATGGACGGGGAGGACAATGCCGTGAAATAAGGATTAATGGTGTACACGATTATTTGTGCCGGGCGACAGATAGAGGGACGGACGAACGGACGACCAGACTGACAGACAAACATATTAAAAAATACAATACGAAAACTGTCGCGAGGGCGGCAGGATCAGCACCCAGAGCAGCAACAGGATAAGGATATGGGCTACGATGAGGATGGCAACGAGAGACCAGGGGGCTGCTTGCTCTCGCATATTCATGGCATGGCGTAGGTCGAATTTAATAAAACGTTCCTGCTCGGCAACATCTCGAGTGTTCTCCGTCTTCCCTCGAAGGAAGATGCGATGCGGATGGAGGATGTGGATGTGGATGGGGGTGCGATGGCACTGAGGGATGCGATACTGGTTGGGCATTCGCCACGCTTCTGGTTGGCTGAGTGAGCTCACTTTTCGGGCAGGCAGGGGTCGAGGGCTGCCTGACAATTGTTTTTGCTGCTTGGGGTTAGGTTTTCCTTTTATTTGTATGATGAAGAATTTATTTGAAAATTAAGAAGACAAATTATTTAATTTCGACTTTATGAGCTTTCTCCCTCCCCCCACCACGCTAGCCCAGAACAGCTGTTTCAATGGGAATCGGACTTGGACGAGTTCTCGGAAAAGGGTTTTCGCTGTGCCGGGGGCCAGTGGCGGCCATTTTGTGCCATTTGATGGGAGCGGGACTTGGGAACGCGTTTTGCATTTTATACCCGACGCGGTAATAAACACGCAGCTAGCGAGCGCTCGCAGCATAGGAGAGGAGATGGGGGGCCACGGACTTGGGACTTGCTCCACGAGCACGCCACAAACTTAATTTCATTTAGTTTTATGTACATTTCATTAAGCAAAAAATGTCCAGGCATCGCGACGGCTATGGCGATGGCGACGGGCGACGGCTACGCCAACTGCGACCAAACATTGAAGTGTCCGGAGCATGTCCTGAATATATCCTGGCAATGGCGACTTGGGGACAATCAAGATAAATAGCAAACGGAATTTTTATTGCCGAAAGGATACGAAAGGCGAAACAAAAGGCGACCGAAAGAGTTGGAAGTGTTGACGTGACTGCTGTGTCCTCGATGTGTGCAGGACGGACGGGCGAACGGACCACAGAAACCCTTTAGACACACACACACACTCACACACATAGAGAGAGGGGCACACACAATCACACATCCACATGAGCAGCTACCTTTGTTTGGAAAATTGTCAAATGTTTTGTATTTTCCAAATTTATTGCCGGTGGCAGCATTTTGTTGTCGCTCTAACCATAGATTATCTCATCGTTTAGAGCCTAATATGCACCCAAAGGTAGTCGCAGTATGATTTATCACCGACCCACCGATATATGATCGTTCCCTTCCCCCACCCCATTGTTTTGCCTTCGCCTTTACCTTCGGCTCCGCCTCTACCCTTTCACAACCACATTTGCTTCAACTTCCCCTTCCATTTCTGCTTCTCCTTCCCCTACCATACCATATACCTATCCTATCCAGCTGCGAGACAAACATTTTTAATTACACTTTTTACAAGAAAATTAAATGGCAACATGTCATCGCTAATTAAATTGTTCTTCTTTTCGGTTTGTTTGGTTTGGTTGTTCTTTATTGTGCTATCCTGGGAGTGTGCGAGTGTGTGGCAAAGGAGCAGGAGCTGGAGCAGGAGCGGGGGTTGTGGCTGGTTTGTGGAGGAAAGGGTTATGTTATGCTAGATGACTGCGCTGATAATGGCAGGGAGGGACACTCATTTATCAAATTGAGATAGTGCGGCCTAGGGCACGCGCTTTAATGCAGTTCGGCCCAAAATGCCATTCAATGTCAATTATCGCTGACATTTACAATGCATTCATTTAATTACGGCTCTTTAAATTCGATAATTTCAACTAGTAATACAAAATAAGTGAATACTTTTTAAATGGCATTGTCTATGTATTTTGACCTACTACTTGATTGCGGAAAACTCATTTGGTATTGTGGGATTTTAAAAACCTTTAATTTGTATTTAAAATTCAAATCAAATATGGCGGGCACCATTTATTTTCAAGCACTTCCAGCATGGTCTTCGCTTTCCAACACTAACCGATGACGAAGCGAACCAGTTCGGTTCACTAGTCGATACTTCAATCCACGGGCAAATAATACCAAACCGGGGCTAGGCCGCATAAAAATACCGAAAATACCAAAAAGCAGTTTTCTGTCAAAGGACGAATTGGCGAAGAAGAAGAGTGCGCGCGCGGATGTCTCACTGGCCGAGCAACCTGCCGCGAAACCTTGTGCCGCATATCCTCGGGTATACGCTGGGCCGCAACGAATGGAGCGTCATCTTGTCATCGTCCTCGTCCAGGCCGTACTTGGAGAAGTGCTTCACACAAAACACCCAACTGCCGGTCTCTGGGCGATACTCGACGAAGCGCTTATCGTTTGCATAGCAGGCGCAACGCAGATGTCCCTCCCAATTCATTTCGATCAGACGCTGCGCATCCTTCACAACAGGCACAGGCTGGGTCTGGGTCTTGTCCACGGGCCATACCTGCTCGAGGGTGACTTGTGCCTCACGATTCAGGCCTTGGTTGATAGGCGGCCTCTTCTCATCGTCAGGATAAATGATGATCCCCTTGTTACGGAAGTAAACTGCAGAGAGAGAGCGAGAATAGTTCTTGGCGGATGATGCTTGTCTGGCCTGGCTCCTCCCCAATCACTTACCAATCTCATCCAGATTCAGTCCAGCCACGTCCATTTCCATGGCAAAGAACACAGTGCCATAGCCCTCACGTCCAATGGTGAAATTGGGCACCACACAGGACCCATCCTCGGCCAGGTAGGACTTGGGATCATCCAGCGAGGGTATCGTGTAGTAGCCCACGCGTCGCAACACTATCCCTGTGGGATGTGGCGCATAGTCTGACGCCCCATAGCGCCTCGCTGCTTCCTCAATGGCCAGTCTGGAGCGATTCACTACAGTCTCCTGCGAGAGGGCCGCCTGCTGCTGCTGTGATGCGAAGGTATCCCGCTTGGCAATGGCGCTGGTTTGCGACTTATCCGTATCCTGCCGATGTTGGTCTTGCTGTCCCTGGAAGGAACCGCTGCTGCTGCTCGCTCGCCGTCTCTGTGTCGGACTTTTGGTGGTGACGTCCCAAAGCCGCTTGGAGCCTTTGGCGACCGTTGCTGTTCACCGAAGATTTGGAGTTTGGGATATCGGCGGCCTTGTCCTTTTTTTTCTCTCTTGTTTTCCTGTTGGTTTAGAACCTATCACACCACTTTTCCTCTTGCTCCAGCGGAAAAAACCCTTCGCATGTTGGCTTCTAAATATCTGGCGTCTCCCAGCGTCATGTGAATGTTATTATGTACAAAGTACTCTCCCACAAGCGTTACGAGCTTCCTCTGTTGCGTCGCTTTGAGCTTTACGTTTTTGCGCTTCTTTTTTAGCAGCGCCTGGCCGGCATTTTCACTGTTTAGGAGGATGCTGTACACGTTTATAACCGTAGTCACTGTGGACGGGCATGATGCGGCGTCCTGTTGCGAAATGTGGTCGGACTCATCCGAATCTCCACTGCTCGACGTCACATCGAAGTCGTCGTCGCTACTTACATTTTACGGTGACTGGCACCGGAACGTAATCACGGTCATGGTCAACATGGTCGTTACCTGTGGCGGCGGCCTGGTCATCCAAACAAGACTTAACGTATCTCCTTTTACTCATTATTACAGCTGTTGGTGCGTCGCGTCCACACACACACACGTATATGCTCAAAATGGGATGCCGGCTGTTGCTACAGGTAAGGTATTTACTGGTACTATATCGTTACTAACTAAGTTAACGTTACGTAGTTACTACATGGTGCCTAGTTAGTTTAGGCGTTTAAGCGAGTTTAAGTAAAAGAGTTTAAGCCGATTTTGCGGGCGTCCGCAGACGCACACACACACGTAACTATGCTCATATGTCGGGCTGTTGCTCCACTTAACTGTAGTTAAGATACTTACTAACTAAGTTAACGTAACGTTACGTAGTTTCTGTACGTAGTTAGTTTCAGCATTTAAGCTAGTTTAAGCGCTTTGGCGCGCCGCGTCCACACTCACACAAACACACATATCATAACGGATCTTTCACTAGGGCTGGATCGTTGCCGAAACGATAGTATCGATATAAATTTAGAAATTAGATTTATATAAATTGCAATTGAGATGGATCTCATGAGATGAGATAGTTATAGCTAGACTATAACTATAACTATAGCTTCTGATAAGGATTGGTAACATAACTAGCATAACTAGCATAACTAGAGCTGCATAACTAGAGCTGCAAAAACTTCACTACCGACGCTACCCGGCTACCGACTACTAGGACTGCACAGCCACGGACAGGACTTCCAGGACTACACACTACACTGCACAGGACAAGATGGATACGAGCAAGGCTGGAGCCAGTGCCACTGCTGCGACCAGCAATGCGTCAGCCCAGTACCAGGAACAAACTGTGGGCCCTGTGCGACCTGGCCGGATGAAGAAACTAGCATATCCGAAGAAGCCGGACCAATACACAAACCGCCGCCCCGTTTGTCCCATGTTTTACCTCTTCAAATCATTTAGTCAAGTGGAATTTAACACATTCGTGCGGTAAGTTGCCTCTGGTCTGCTTTTGTAATACATCAATAGTCATATATTTTTGGCATTTGACAGGTGCCAGTTACACAGGAGTCCCGCGTAGGTTCGAGGAAAATAAACTTGTGTTCTGAAACTAGCAAATCCTGAACAAAATTTATTGAGGAGTCGGATAAAATTATGTGTGTATTGCTGAGAGTCCCAACTATCTAGTAATATTAAACTGAATATCAAAATTGACGAATTTCATATCACAAAATATCAGGGTATGGCAGCCCGCAGCAACTACGAATTGCACGAGTCTGGCAGCGCCACAAAAACGTATCAAAATATCGATACTATCGATAGTGCCCTCGATGACACCTCTATAAACACACATTTTTACTAAACAAAAAGCCGCAAATTTGTTAATTTTATTAACTTAAAATGTCCGAGACCAGCTCCAAGGAAAATGTGAAGACAGCCATGACTTATATTTGTGGTGGTAAGTTAGGCAGAGTGTGTATGTAAACAAGACAGACAGCTTTGGCCCACGCACATGGCCGCGAAGATAGTCACAGTCACACAAATTGCACAAGGAAATGTTTATATTATGCGATAAATAATTGCGCTACTCCTTTCAGAATGCCATCATGAGAACGAGATGCGACCACGTGATCCCATACGTTGCCGCGAGTGCGGCTACCGCATCATGTACAAGAAACGCACCAAGCGTCGTAAGTAGTGCCCCCAGCGCTTGGCAGCCTCCAATTGCTCTCAAACTGCATGCCGCAAGCGGATAACTAATGGAATCTTTCGTTTTCTTGCCTTTCAGTGGTTGTCTTTGATGCACGCTAAAACCAACTGAAGATTGGACTACTACAGCTGTAAGGAACTAGTTTTTAATTGAATATGTGTGCTTGAATAAAAAGTACTCTTAAATAACTGAAAATACGCGTCGTTTGTTTTTATTCAAGAAATATTCCATACTCCAGTACTACCAGAATATGTCCAGACTTTCATAGAGTATAGTGGCGTCCCGTCTCCTCTGCCGTATATGATTGAAAACGCTTTTTTTTATTTTATATTTTAAACTAATTATCTTTTATTTTGAATGTTTTGGAAATATATAATTTTTAAACTAAAAAACACTCACATTACATTATATATTTTTTATTTTTCCATTTTTTGTTGGTTTTTTTTTGTGTTGCAAATTTTTGCTTAAATAAAATTTAAAGTAATTTGTTGGGATTTGCTTTCGTTTTGTTTTGTTTTTTTATTCATTCCCCATATGTCTTTTTTCGTCTCAAAAATTTTGTCTAAATGGCTTGTCATCCAAAAATTTACTTTACTTAAGAATTTCTCCTCATTTTACATGCTTTGTTTTTAGTTAAGTTTAGTTTAGTTTCGTGCAATATATTTACGTTTAAGTTTACCACATTTAGCAAAAACACACATTGTACACTAAAATTGTTTATATTATACCATTTATTCGTTATGTTTTCCATTCATATGATATACTGTATGTATAATACTATATATATATCATATATTCCCCCCCGACACTTTTCAGTCAAATATTTCTTGTTTGTTCAGTGTGGTAAAAAGTTGAATGTATGTTTATATTCATGTTCTTTGAGTATTTGTTGAATTTTGTTCTTGTTTCCTTTTTCCTTTGATAAAATCATAAGTACAACTACACGTACAATAATTATAGTTTGCTTTTGTTTCGTTCGTTAATATTTATATAAGTTTTCTTTTTCTTTTCAATATGCTTAAAATGTTCCTAGTGAGAGTGTTTGTTTGATGTGGGGGCATTTGTGGGCGTGACTGAACTACTATAAACGATGGCTAAAAGTAAAGATAAAACTAAATGTATTTTCACGTTCAAGTCTTACATTTAAGAAATAAGGCAAAGGGTACGACGATGAGGTCTGCGCATCGCGCATGCGCGGGGGCTGTTCATAAATTATACAATAAACTAAGGCAACTAGAAAAGTTAAATCTAAGTTATTGTAAATAAATGGCAAATCATTTCGCGTAACTAAACTGAAGCTTTGTAAATGGCAAATTAAAGCTTTTACTTCACATTTCAATTGGAGCAAATCATATTGGGTGGATGCATTTGATAAATGCTCACATACCTACATATGTATTACTAAACCTTTAAATATCCGTCTTCTTGTGAGTATGTGTTGAGTGTGTTTGTGGTGTGTGTGTGTGCTTTTATGATAGATTGAGAGCTCAATTATACAACTAAGATAATGGATAATGATAATACATAATTATAATGAAATTCATTTGAGATGCGGCTGCGTATAGCATTTTTGAGCCCATTTCGTTCCATGAATCGTGTTTTGTTAAGTAATTTTTGTTTGTTTTAAGAGAAATCATATTTCAGGTACATCACAACTTAAAATTTACAAAATTAAATGCAATTTTTTAAACAATTTCAATGTTAATGCCTAATGCATTCCATATGGCAAGCAAACATTTGCTAATTAAAAAGAGAACCCAAATTACACGAGAATTAACCCAAAATAGGTTGAGTCTGTACTGCTGCAGCAGCCAGCCTCTGCCTGTCACGCCTAAGCAGCAGCGCCGCCTGCACTCTACGCCTGGACGCTCCGGTCTGGCCATGCCGCCAGTAGCGGTGCAGAGCCAGGGACCCAATCGTGTGATAGTTGAAGCTAATGGAGCTGCTGCGTCGCACCTGGTTGCATTTCAGGCAGCCCAGTTTCTGGCGGACCATGCGATTCAGATACTTGTCGCGCAGCAGGCCCACCACCGCTTCGGGCGTGAGGCGTATCTTCTTGGGCTGCGCCTGCTTGCGGGAGCTGCGTCCGTTCTCGCCATCCGACTTCTTGCTAAAGTCCAGCGGAGCCGCCAGATACTCCTGCTTGCTGGCTGCATCGGCCAGCAGGGGCAGCAGCGTGGTCAGCTGACTGAGGGATTTGCGGGCAGCATTCGCTGTGTGACCGTTCGACGTAGCTGCCTGGCTGTGGGCTGGAGCCGCCTTTTTAGGACTCTTGCGGGACACCGCCAGATCCAGCTGTCGCTTCAGCAGGGACGAGGCTGGCGGCTGGGGTGGTGAGGACTTCACTGTGGGCGCCCTGGGTGTGATGGTCAGGGTGATGTCCTCCTTGTTGCGCAGATACTCAATGTACTCCTCCGTCTCGCTGAGCAGACGGCGACGCTTGCTCGGCGACATGTGCTCCAGATCCAGCTGCCTCTGCTGGCCCGTGGTGGTGGCCGTGGGCAGGGCAGCTGCAGCTGCGGCCAGCATCAGAGGCGTTTCGGCTGCGTAGTATTTGTTGATGATATCTTTAACATAATTGTGAAACTGTGTGCCAATGCGGTTGAGATTCTGATATTCCATTTGGGTGAGAAATGGTGTTTGATTCGTGGTGCTGGGTGCGATTGCTCCTGCTCCTGATCCTCCTGCTGCAGCTGCCGCGGCAGCTGCTGTGACCGCCGCTGCGGCAGCGGCAATTGCTGCAGATTTGGTGTTGTTCTCCTTATCATCCTGACGATGATTATGATGAACGGCATTTCTGTGCGACGACTTGTCCTTGTGGTTTGTGTTGCTGTTGTTATTATTGGAATTTAATTTGTACGCGGGAGACGATTTAATAAGCTGCAATCGCTGCTGTAGCTGTGGCTGTGGCTGTTCCTGGTTCTCCTGATCCTCGTCATTCTCGATCTTGATCTTGCGCTTGCTGGTTAGCAGCTCGATGGCCGTCTGCTCGTAGCTAGCCGCTTCCAGAAATGCCGTTGCCATCATCGCCTTTGCCTGGACTTGGACCTTCTCCTCCTTCCCATCCTCCATCTCGAGCTTCTCCAGCTTCACATGACGCGACACCTTCGTCGGCGATGTGGACAACATGTTATACTCATCGCCCGAGAAGCTCGACGAGGATGCCGACGATGGTGTATTCTCGTCATCCTCCCCCGTGGAATGTTGCCGGGCACGGATGCCAAACTTTTGTCGCTGGGAACTGCTGCTGCTGCTGTTGCTGTTACTGTTGCTGCCGCGGTGGGTGGTGCCCATGTTGCTGAGACTGTACAATAATGCAGCAGCCTCTCGTGTCGTCCATTGCGAAGGCAGTTTATTATTAAACA